TTGTTCAAATCATGACCCTCGGGGGTAGGGTGGGGCTACAGTGGGCGATCAAAGTTTTACATAGGAATACCTGTGGTGTGTGTAGAAAAGGGTATTTTAGTTTAGAGCATTCTTCAAGGGCGATTGTGGTTTTGCTAAATACTTACGTCTTGTTGATTCCAAGGTGACCTCCATGTACTTGAGCATGTATACTTTTGAGAATGTCCGTCTTTTCGTTTTCTTACACATTTCTGAGATCTTTGTCTTTAAATGTATGGAAAAGGTTACCGTCTTTCACTAGGAACTTCTTGCAATCTCTTCTGAAATTTCTTTTTCTTGTCTCCAACTTCTTCACTACTTTTGGATAAATTCCTTCGGTTAAGTAATTTTTTTTATCTGTAAGATGCGTCTACTCTCCATCGTCGCTTCGAGCTAAGTGACAGACTGGGTTTTATGCAGCAGTCAAGAACTGTCCTTCTTTGATCTCCCTGCAGAACTACAGCTAGAGTATGTAATGGACTAGAAGCTACATTTCTCACCATCTTTGATGTCAACAATTAAAACAACGCGGTTAATGCAACTTGTTTGATCTAAACAACTTAAAAGCGCATTTCTCTTCAAAGAAACCGATGAGAGAGAGAGAGAGAGAGAGAGAGAGAGATCCTGGAGTTTTTCTCGGAGGCGGGGCTGTGGTGTCAAAACCCTCTGAAATATTCTGACAAAAAGCCATAAACAAAATAAATAAATGAAACAAGCAAACAACCAAGCAAATAAAAAGTATGGCATGTCAAACGTTGCAATATTCGATCTTTTCCATTTGTATTGTATAACTTTCCATTTGTATTGTATAATTTTTATTTGTATTGTATAATCTTTCATTTGTATTGTATAATTTTCAATTTGTATTGTATAATTTTTATTTGTATTCTATAATTTTCCATTTGGATTTTATAATTTTCCATTTGGATTGTATAATGTTTATTTGTATTCTATATTTTCCATTTGTGTTGTAAAAAAAATCATTTGTATTGTATAATTTTTCATTTGTATTCTATATTTTCCATTTGCATTGTATAATTTCTTATTTGTATTGTATAATTTCTTATTTGTATGCGATAATTTTTCATTTGTATTGTATCCGAGGATTGTTTATTTATTTCGTTACGAAGGATGTCATTGGTCATAAAATTTAGTCTGTATAAAGGTCTCAGGTGCCCTTCACAAACTTAGTCTGGTACCCTTCCCACAATTCCGATCGCGCACTCTCTACAAACACAAACTCGGCTCCTCTATTTGCGGTGCATGCTAAGGGACGACCATTTGATTCTCGGGGGATGTCGAATCCGATTATTTATTTTCATTCTCTCGCAGGAGAGAATATTTATTTCCAATATGACCAGAGACAAGGAGAAAAACAAAAAGAAGAAAATCCGCCCAAACCCGAAAACTCAGTTTTTTGGGGGTGGGGGTAGTTACCACCACTCAAGGTCAATTTATTTATTTTCTCAGTCAGCATTCCTAAGGACAGATTATTTATTTGCCATCTACCAGCGCTCCCTTTTTAGAATCCAATGACCGTCTAACATGCACGCAAATACATATGCCGCCGAAATATGGCTGAAATATTGCCGACTCGGCGTTAAACAATAATCAATCAATCAATCAAGCAAATACATATGAGTCCAGTTTGCTTTGAGCATCCGGAACATCTTCAACCCGATACAGGCTGAAACTTGACCAATGAAATCCTTCGTAACGAAACAAATAAACAGTCCGCGGATACAATACAAATGAAAAATTATCGCATACAAATAAGAAATTTTACAATACAAATAAGAAATTATACAATGCAAATGGAAAATTATACAATACAAATAAAAATTATACAATACAAATGAAAATTATACAATACAAATAGAAAATTATAGAATACAAATAAAAATTATACAATACAAATGAAAAATATACAATACAAATAAAAAATTATACAATACAAATAAAAATTATACAATGCAAATGGAAAATTATACAATGCAAATGCAAAAGATCGAATATTGCAACGTTTGACATGCCATAAAAAAGGGGAAACGAACCAATGTTGAAAACCAAACCATGTTTTTTGAGGATGGAAGGGCCGCTTCAGAAACTCCTCACATATAATCCTGTGTTTCCCCAGTGGTGGTTGGGGGGGGGGTTATATCTTTGGCTACTTTGTTACAAAAATTAAATAAAGCTGAAAGTCAGGTTTTGTGTGTCTAAGCCAGACATTTTTTGATTAACTCTCCTAAAAATCCAAAACGAAATAAAACTATACAATACAATATATGAACAAAACAGCACAGTCACAAATACAAAAAAATTCTTCATATATATACATAATCTTTAAAATTTACAAGGGATCTGTGTTACCTTGGATGGTACTTATCCCCCCCCCCCCCCTTTCGATCCTCTACTGAACAAAATAAGTAGGTAATGTGGGATTCGTTGTTGAACTGTTTGATTAACTAGGCGAAAAAGATCCCTAAGCTTTTATTTAAAAAATCCGGTTTTCAAGATGGATATACATGTAGTTATTGATATTGTCATGACTGAATATGCATAAAAATGTACGTGCATCATGCGTAAACGTCCACAATATCCCGAGTATTCATATTACGAATTTTAGAAGTATTAAAATAAATGCAATGTTGTAAGCTTATAGCAGATATAAATAAACATATTTCTGAACTAAATTGTATATTGTGTAACTATATATATTAATATTCTAGATTTAGATATATTTCTTTTTAAATAAATATTACATGAAATACTGCGATTTTACGCTAAATTTGAAATTGAAGATATTTATGTAAATATTTTATTCCAAAGATTAAAACTGAATTAAGTGTGTATATTTAATTGAATAAATCACAGTTGTGAATATCGATTCATAAATATGTGTTTTATGCTGTTGAATTTAGAACCGGTTTCATGATCAAAATTCCACGACCCGGCTCACTTTTCAACGGACTAGGGTCTAAATTCAGCACCTTTGGTCTCAATATTCAACGTTGAAAAATGACCCACCCCCCACCCCCCGAGTCAATTTTCAACCCGGGTCAAAATTCAACCTTACACCTGTTCCAGCAAATGCTCTACCAAGCCCCTATCATTACTCCTCACAAAAATATCAACTGCTGTAAAGAAGAAACATCAGACATTTTGAGCTATAGCATATTTGAGAAGTGGTGTAAATCAAATGTGGATTCTTAGAAACTCTAAAGAACTTAAAATCTAAAATCACATTTTTTTTTCAAAAGTCAAAACGTATTACTTTTCTACCCATTAGACAGCCATTCTTCAGGATAAATTAAAAACTAAGCTTTTTGATATATGCAACTGCTTCTTCAAAAAAAAATGGAACTCGGAATTTTTCATATCTTGTTCTGGGTCAACAACGAAATTACTTTGTTAAAAATCACTCTGATTTTACACACACGTACTCTGAAGTTGAGGAATTTGGACTTCCTCGTAGACATTATCTATGAAGTCTTTGAAGACTAGGTCTTCCAATAAACTGTTAGAATTCCGTTGGGCACTAACTGTGCTCTGTTATTAGCCGACTTGTTTTTATATTCCTATGAAGAAGAATTTATTCAAAATCTTATACATGTACATGAAAAGAAGAAAGATACCACAGAGTCTACCACATCTGTTTCATATTTGAATGTTTTACTGTCTATAGAGACAAGGGCCAACTAACAACTAAATTGTATGGCAAACGAGATGACTTCAGCTTTTCCATCGTCAACTTTCCTTATTTATGTAGTAATATTCCGCTATCATTGCATATGTATTCATGTCTCCCAACTTTAGTCGATACCCAAGAGCATGCTCTGAGTACGATCAATTTTTAACCAAGGCCGGCTACTGACAGATAAATTGATGCTATTGGAATTTCAACAAGCTCGTTTAAAGCCATAATTTTGTCAATTCTATGGTCATTATAATGACCTTGTTAGCATATATATCCTATCACTGGGTTGTATTTTGACTGATATTTCATAGCAATTGTTAGGCCCCTGTTTTATACTAAATTTGAGTACGGAATATTCCCTCTATCTGATCAATACATACGCGTCACAAGGGGGGGGGGATTCTTACTCCTCCTAGGCACCTGGCTCCGGGGCCATAAAACTTACACGAGCTCATTTTATCCCAGTCTCACTTTTACAAAAGGAATCATTAGCGGAAAAGTGAGACTGAGATCAAGAGTGAGCTCATCTAAGTTTTATGGCCCCGGGGCCTGATCCCACCTCTGGAATTTCCGGGAGTCTGTGTTTTATGCCCTGTTCACAGATTCATATTGTTTGTAGGTTTTTTGAGATTGATCACTGTTCGTTATATACACCTTTATCATTTTGTTTTTTTCTCAAATTCAATTAAAAATGTAAATATAATCCATGAATCAAATTTTTGTTTGTCACGGTAGCTCAATGGCTCCCTGATTGGAAGGTCGCGTGTTCGAACCACGGCCGCGACTGACCTAAGTCGATAAAATAGGTAGCAACTGTTCCTTCGCCAAGCTCTCGGAACTTTGAAGTGAACGTTATGGGTCCATCGGATGAGACCTTAAAAACCGAGGCTCCGTGTCACGGTAGGCCTTGGCATGATAAAGAACCCTCACTGCTCAATGGCCCCAAGTGCCCTATAAAGAACTAAATTTGAAGCCCGTCACCGGTATATGGTGACGCCTCTATATGAGTCAAGGGGACGTAAAACAACATACAATCAATCAGTCAATCAATCAATTAATCATTTACTTATATAAATGTGTTAACCCAAGGCAGAAGATTGCATATGACTACAAGAGCAGAGGAAAGGGGAAAAAATGAATGTTTACATAAAGAGTGTATCTCAATTAAATTTCCCTCTAGTATACCTTTAATCCTGTTATTGACAAAAAGGAAAATAACTAATATTCAGAAATTTTATTTCAAATTCCAGTAGTTAATTTTTTTTTATCTCATCTCAAGAATCATTTAGAGTTTATAGCCAGAGAAAGAAGTGTATTGTTTATACATGTTTGCTGGTCCACTGAAGACCCCAATCCAAACTTTATCCCTGCGATTTAGCCTTGCAATCGTCATCTTGCTACAAGGAAGCCAGGTCTTGGATACATCCTGACAATGATTCCACGATTTGTAGGAGCCATTTACTACGAGAGATGTGTATGCAACTTGGCCTTCCCAGGCTAGAGTTGTCCAGTCGAATACGTACAGTCCTCCATATGGCGCGGTGAAGATACCAGTGGAAGCGTTGTATCCTTGTCCTTCGTTCAAGTCAACCGTTTCGAACACAACCTTTGTTTTCGTAGCAAGATTCCTTTTATGGTTCTTTAATCTGACGTCAAAGGCAACCATCTGTTCGTTTGCATGTTTTTTCGCATTGTCTGCAAGCAAGAAAAAAAAACATGATGATATGTACAATTGTACCAGATTTTACAACACAGACCTATGATCAAATTTGGTTTCTTTAACAAAAATGCATCAGTTGGAGATGATACATATACAGTAATTTGGAGTGCATCAGAATCATTCTGTTTGACATATCTTCTTTTTTGTATCTTTTATATTTGGCATGTGTTTGTATCATGATAATGCTATGATTCCTGTCACATTTGACCATGACCTTAAATGTCTTTTTTTTTCTTTTGGACGGGAAATCATAAAAACTCCATTCTCTAATTTAAGTATGTTATGTTCAGCATATTAATTGGTAGCATCATCAGAGAATGTGTTACGCAACGGTGAGTTCTGTTATGGCATTGAAATCTGAATTTAATCTATTATGGGGGTATATGTTTGTGTTCTAATCCAACATTCCTAATACACTTAATGAAACATATTTATCTGAGGGAGGAAATAAAGGAGGATTAGGTTTCTTTAGTTTCTAGAGTATTCCGCGAATACTTATGAGACCGTGTTTACATGTGAATAGATCGTCAATTGTCCAGAAACATTGAACTTTGAAAAAGAGCATGAGTTCTAAGATTGGACTTAGAAAGCAAATATTTGAAGAGCATGATATTCCTTGCATTAAATGTTAAGAATATTACATATTCTATGATATCCATGCATTCTTCAACGAGAAAAATAATTGATATGGCTAGGTAGTCTGCTTGTTAAATGAACTTCGTGTCCGAGCCATAATTCTTGAACCATTGTTTAGATTTGGTTAAGGGTTGAGTACTTTTATTATTTTTTTTTTTTTGGTGGGGGGAGGGGGGTTTTCTTTTGTATTGGCCAAGGATTTAAAACTACTAGTATCTTTTGATCTTCAGCCAGGACATACCTCCGAGGTTTAGGTCACTGTGTCATAATGTATTGAAATGGGGCCCTTGTGTTTTTATTCTGAAATTCTTAACTTGAATCAATTAATATTTAACTATAGAACTGCTGACAACCACGGGGTGAGTCAGGACCTTGACGCATGACCATATACGAGTATATCAATGTTCAAGGTCATCTTGTCAATGTCGTCAATGTATAGAAAGAAAATAACTGGAAAGGAGATTTTTTTAATTAAAACACAAAACCAGTTGGTAAGATCAATCACATGCATGTGCAAATTGACTAACAATATTCAGATGCGAAGAAAAACAATCTGGTATTTTCCTTTTTTCTAGCTTGCAAAATCTGTTTTACAGAAGAGCACTGACTGATATTGTTTTACAAGTAATAGCTTTTCAAAAAGCTTGCCTGACTAATCAATCAATATCTATGGAACAGGCGCGCCGGGCGTGCGCCCCCCCCCCCCCCCCCCCCCCCGTTTGAATTTTTTGTATGTGGAACTTATATTTTCATTATCCTAAAATCAAGGAAAAAAACACCTCTTATTTGTAAGAATTCGTGAGCTTCCGGGGGCTTCGCCCTCGAACACCCATCAGAGCTTTGCTCTAGACCCACTGGGGTTTCAATACAGCCCCCCAGACCCCCTGCCCTATACTGCGCCCTCCCTTTATGAAATTCCTGGATCCGCCACTGATAATTCTGAGAAAATAGTTAGATCATTCGTTTTAAAGAAATTCATATTACATGTACTCTCTTACTAGAGGGCGCACTTCTTCATGGTCAGTGATAGATTGATGAGACGGCCTCTATTTATAGACTGGTCTGTTTTCCGTCGTTCTCGACGACGAAGTAAATTATGAACAGTTTCAACTGGGAAAGTTGTGTTGAAGTGTTTGAGACAAAAATGCTTCAATGCTACTCTAGAAATCAAAGTAAATAACCTACAGGTACACTTTATAGCTAGCGCAAAACAAGATACTAATAACACCTCCCACCCCTCACCCCAGGACAAAACTCACGCGATGATGGTCTTACCATATACAAGTACATGTATTATAAATGAGCTTAAAATACATCTTTATATACAGTTTTGAAATTGATTAGTTTTTCTTTTCAATCGATTTCAGGACCTTTCTCAAAATTATAATAACGTACTTTTTATGAATTGAAAACCAGTACAGATCATGATGTCTTCATTTTGCCGATTCTTTACTTAGAACCTTACAGGAGTGAAGCCCATTCCTCTACGGGTACTGACCTACACTCTTGTCACTGTATTAAAAGGAAACCCTTGTTCATCACAAAGCATGAAATAATATGCTACTCGCTGACTTTCTAAGCTTTTTGAAAAAACCTTACCTTGTAACGTACATTATTAATAAATGTAATGTTGAAAGAAAGGCTAGGTGGAAAACAGAATCAAGAAGGGATGTCCCATTTACTGGGTGGAGGGAGTTTGTTTATGATTAGACTAGTCCACTTATGGAATGAATAGTAAGTATAATCAGGAAATCCATTGCTTTAGTGTTGCTTGTCCATATACAATGTATTCTCTTAAAAAAATGAGATAAAATTTACTGTTAATAAAAAATCTGGAGCTTAAGAATCATGTTAAAAGAATAAACTTTATTTATTTCCATACAAGTTATCACACCCATTCAATAGAACAACCCAAGAAAAAGGCGCGAAGATAATTTACATGTGACACTTGGCGCGAAATGATTGTGTCACCCCTTTCGTAGAGGCAAATGGACTGTTCAAGTAGTTTAGAAACGCAGAAAAAATGTTACACGGACATGTTCGTACAAAGAATCGCAAAGAATAAATATGTGCATGCAAAAAAATTGAATGAATTAAACACATCATTATTTTGCATCAGTTATATGATTCTTTCTTCTGCAAACAGTATTTGTTTAAATGCAGGTAACAAATTCCGATGTAAATCAGCTTGCTGAAAATCTAGTTCATTAAGAATGATCGCTTAGTTTCGGATCCCTGAAATATTAATCCTTATACTGCCTGACGCACGTGGCGTCAGGCAATAAAAGTCGGGTACAGCGCAGGTAATAAAATAGAAAAAATAAAAGATAAAAAAAAAAAAATAAAAATGTGTTGATGTTTTAAATTATATTCTTTTTAGCCTAAGACATTTCTGTTGTTTCCTAGGAAGTCGACAGCATCGGAAATTTATCCAATTTACTAAGCTACGGTGTGCAACATCAGCTGACTCGATCATTTTTAAACAATAAATGTTTAATCTTTCTGAACTGATCTCAATCAAATTTTGATATTCAAAAAATGTCCAAACCTGCAACATTTTTACAATCTTTTCTGACAAATCCAACGGAATGACAAGTTTCTGCCACACTCTTGTAATCCTCCCGGAATGTTTTCAGTCCTGGTCTTGGTGATATTTTCTCACACCGTGCATGAATCAACAGCATCAAGAGCACCAATAAAGAACAGGTCCAAGCAGTTGTAATCATTCTGCTAATTAAAAGAAGATGAAATAAATAATATGTACAAGATAAAAGTTCTTCGTAAGTGTAGCTCATTGTAAATATTATAACATTTTAAAAACATATTTCTATCAATTTAATTCAATGGATAAATCCTTAGGCTAGTCAGGACATTTTTTAAGTTACATTTTGATTTAAATAGTATGATTAGATTTTTGACTTTCAGCCGAAAAGCTTCATTTGATTCTTATCAGGGGGTGCTTGCTCCTCCATGGCACCTGATCCCACCTCTGATGTTTTTTTTTAAATTCTTGACAGGGGATGCTTACTCCTCCATGGCACCTGATCCCACCTCTGATGTGAGGTCCATATTTGCTCTGCTCAATATTTGTATTGTTTCAATGGACTTTTGAGCTTGATTACTGTTCGTTATCTTCATATTTCATTCTTCAGTTTCTATGTATAATCATTATGATTATAATAATTCATGCAATAACGTGTTAACAACAACAATAATAATTCCTTTTTCTTGTCTATCTTGTGTCAGGCAAAGTAAAATCTACAAAATGTAGGTTAAAAAATTGAACCACTCTAGACTACTGTTGACTAATGTCAGTATGGTCAATCAAAATTCATGTAAATTTTTTGTGAAAATTCTTTTAAAACTTTTTTGAATTCTATCCCACAAAAAATGAAGCTACGTTATATTTGAATATTGTAATGTATTATTATCGGGTATTACATAAATAGTTACATACCATTCTTCTTATCTAAGACAGAAAAGCAATATCAGTTTATAAAAGTTTGTAACAAAGTTTTTTTTTTCTTTCGTTTTGATATTATGTATCATATTATTAAAACTATCGTTAAGTCAGTTGTTTTTATGAGACTACTCTCGGTCATTCTGGTCTAGATCGAATTTGTATTATTTTGATTATAACTACTTTCTTTCAATTTGAAATTGACTTACCTTTCATGCAGGAGAACAATGAAATGTAAAATCGGTATTACCTCTACCTTTAGAAGCTTTATATATTTATATAAATGTATATATGATATCGGTTAATTGATTGTAACAGCTTGCTTAGAAATACTATAAAAATCTGATACGGCTATCAGAATATATAATATTTGCAGAATCCAAAGCAAAACAGGAAGCTAATATGCATCTTGATGCAAACTTAGATATAGTGAGTTTGTTCACATACTGAGAAATATTTCACCTAGCTAAAAAAAAGTAAATTTTCAATTTTCTCTTGTTGTTTTGTAGCAATATTTATTCTGCAACAAAAAGAGCGAGGTTCACTTTTTGCATAAAATGACCCTGTTCATTTACTTGTTTGTTTGGTTGTTAACGTCCCTTCGGAATTTTTTCACTCGTATTGAGACGCCACCACTTGCCGGTGGAGAGCTGCATTTAGACCTGCACTGAGCACTTACGGCCTCTGGGCAGTGAGAGATCTTTTTTCGAGTCAGCACCTAGTGCGACACGGAATCTCGGTTTATGAGGTCTCACCGAAAGACCGGTCTCCACGTCGCACAGTGGATTCGATCACGCGATGTATGGAACAACTCCCTATGCCGCGACTCTAGAGCAAACGCTCTAACCACTACGAGGCGACGTCCATATACTAATTTTAAAACTAATAATACATGTATACAGTTAAAGTATATCATTGCGGGAGTTAGCAAGATTCCAGTTCCCCAAAGACCAGGGTTACTTCCCGAGGCAAATAGCCCCGGTCTAGGGGAACTGGAATCTTGCTAACTCCCGCAATGATATACTTTTAACTGTTCTATTATACCGATACAAACGTAAAATTTAGAGGATTCAGATAGCGTGATTTCAAAGCAGGGATTAGCTCACTGAACTAACACGGGGATTAGTCCATTCACGTATCATACCAATGTAAAAGTAAAATCTAGAGGATTACGGATAACCGGTACCATACCAATGTAAAAGTAAAATCTAGAGGATTACGGATAACCGGGAATTAGCTTTCGAAGCAGGGATTAGCTCACTTGACTAACGCACGGGGATTAGTCCATTCATAACGATTTCTAAGGAATAAGTCACATCTAGCGATCTAATGTTATATAGGGAAAAATCAGTAAAGGTATAATACTAACCCCATTTGAAATGTTACACTCTGTGTCGAGTTTTCGTAAAAATGTAAAAAATAAAAATGGGTTTTTAAAAAAACCTGGTTGTATATGAGGGCAGCCGGGGTTTAAAAAATGCCGTCAGTAAGGACAATAATCTTGCATCAGTCCTAGCTAACTACAGACAGTCTTAGCATACAAAAGCGTACATGTAATCATGACTTATCTTTAGAATACATGACGTTAAAATTCACACAGCCTGATTTAACCAAGGGCAAATATAACGGGAAATATTTATCTCCAGCTGTAGATCAGGCCAAAAACAAAAAAATTAACATTTGACTTTAAATTAAAAGAAAAGAATATTCTGAGTCTACAGCTTTTAAACACATTAATCTGGGTAGGATTTCGTCTAAGTAGTAGTCACAGCCGGTTAAATTTTTATAGGGGAACATTATTAGTTGTGCGTAATTCAGTAAATGTTGCGCCAATAGGGCACAATGCTTAGAACGTATCTACAACACAGAGTATTTTTTAGGTAATGTGCTGGTCCTTAAGTATGTGTCCAGATCCAAATCCGGGTTGTAGAGACTGGGCCTTTGGATGAGACCGCAGCAACAGCTTGATTTGAACTCACCATTAAAAATTGCTTATACAATAAAACACTTCTGAGTAACAGCAGCTCTGCTGTCCATTAGTTTTAGTTATTAAAACGTAACAATGCGAAGTTTTGACTCCAGATGCGGGCCTCATCCTAGCCCTGGAGATCATAGTTTGAACAACCTTGAATATTTACAATACCATGGTGCATGCAAATCAATAGGAACAAACTGTAAATCTGTCGATTTTGAGAAAAAGATTTTTTTCTGTATACATATCAATTTAAAATTTTGACATCCCTCTAAAAATTGTCTTAAACCAAATGTTACTAAAGGGGTTGAGATTTGAACAAACTTGTATCATCACTCGTTAATTATAAGGTAGCATTTGTATATACTTTTTTATAGCCCAGTTGGATCTTATCTCCCCTTGAAAAGCATGAGGCCCTCCACTTGAGCAAATTTTACTTCCCTTTATAGAGACTTTGTGACAAATGTGGTTGATATTGTCCCCGTGGTTCTTGAGAACAAGATGAAAGTGTGAAAAGCAAAGATAAATTCACTTGAGCCTCTGGATCAGCTAAGCTAAAAAAATAGAAAACACTTACTTTATGAATATTTGCTTTATTGTGTTCATATCCCTTTGAGAAAAATAATTATGCTATGAACATACATATTACATGTACTTTTCACATTCACAAGATATTCCAGTACAATGTAACAATTACTAAAAATAAATATTCTACTATTTGGTAAAAAGAAATATACAACAATAGTAGATCTAACATAATCTCACTAACATTAGTAAGACATCTGTAAAACAGCGATAGTCTCAAACTATAGATTAAAAAAAGCTTTTTCACATCACTGACATAACACAGTCTTCACTTTGGTCAACACTGATTTACAATCTCATGTCATGATGAAAGCATACTACATGTATACTTCATTTTAATAAGCAGTAACAAATTATACTTATGTCAACAAAATATTATTGAGAAGAAAAACTTCATGATTTGTCCCACAAAACTTTGAACTATGTTAGAGACATAATTATGGTGCACTTCTTATATATAAATGAAAGATACATATATGTAGAAAAAATAAAAAATAAACTAAATGAAAACAAATGCAGGCCAAATAAATGTGTCAAAATCATCAGAATGATTGATATGATAAACATTTTGAAAATTCTTGTATCCAAGTTTCTTTTGCCTGCATTAACAGAAGGGTTCATAAACAAATTGTGTATTATACAAAACTCTTGAAATATCTTCTTATTAAAACAAGTAGTTCACAGATAAAATGAACTGGTCTTCAGATACTCTTACATATATGTACTTTAGAAGATTTTCAAAGGAAGGAAGTCATCATATGTCAGAAAGTGATATGCCAAGGCAATTATGCTTCTTAGAGTACATGTACAAAGAAATACTTTGTGCCCAAGCTTTCACTCAGGAGTGCAACATGGATTTTATAGTGGTAAATCAAAACAATTATGGCAACAAATTCTAAATAAATGAATGATTTTTACACTTAACATCTTCATTATGACATACCATATAAAAAAATATTATTTATGCATTGACTTTAAGCAGGACTTTAAGAACTTATCATGAAACTATATTCCCTAGTCTCCAGTGATTGTACCGATACAAGGGAAAGAGGCACAGGATGAACATAAGCAGCAATAATATAAATCTTCTGATATCACATCCAACATGATGTGCAAAATGTGTAAAACACATGTACAATTTAAACTGTTGAGTCATCTTAATATGATAATAAACTACTGAAAAGTCTTTTTCTATGCATTTCATATGCATGAAATTCATAAAACATGCAACATGTATACCAAAATATACAAGTAATTGATTTTTTAAGAAAAAAGAGGGAGAGTTAAGAGCAGTAAATTAAGCATGATTACTTAATGCCATGAAACAGAAAAAAAAAACATTCCTACACCAAAAAACAAATAAGGCACATTTAATACATGAAGCAAGATTAGACATAGTAACTAAATATTGACAGACTAGAAGCAGCATACCGGTGAAAACTAACACAATGATTGCTAATACTGATCTTTTGAACAGTTTTATCATGAACCATGCTTTTAAGTGGCTTGTTAAAACTAAAGAAAATCAAATTCAATCTGAGTTGAAATTTGGCATGATTATAAAATATTTAGGGTAAAATCTAATATAATGAATCAATAACTCTGTTGTGGTGTTACTTTAACTTAGATATTGCACTCATTATAAACAATTTTTACTTCTTCATTCTAGTTTTCTTTTTTTTAACCACGAAAATTAGTTAATGTAATATAATTTATTTCTACTACTACATCGTTTTTCTATAAATTCTATAAATCCCCCCTTTTTAACAGAATAACCCCCTCCCCCCCAAAAAAAAGATCATAAGTCTTTCTCAGATAGCCATGGATAGGATTTTCTGTTTTGAAAATATTTTATAAAACAGAATTAACAAAATCAAAGCCATAACATGACTTAAAGTCAGTAAACAATCAGTAAAATTGTGGAACTTGCATAGCAGCTTAAAATTTGTTAAATGATATTTTTCCCAAATTGCCTGCCAATTTATACACAGTGACAATGTACAGATCAGTCCCCGTAAATAATCATTATGAAAAGGGATAGGTACCAAGGTAAAAATGGTCTTTGCAAATGTGTATAACTTATTCTTCAAACATCTTTTTTTATTTAAAAAAAAAATTACCTCAAAATTGCTACTGTTGTGCATGATTATTCACAACCTACATTACACTATCTATACTATTCAACAAGAATGAAACTTCTTCGGTTACTTTTCTTCACAACTTGCAAAAGCAAATGGTTAAAAGTTTCCAAACTTCATACATCTCATCCATGGTATGACAGATCTATTTGTTCAACCCATTCATTCAATACATACATGTACTGTATCAATTTTCATGCAACATCAAAATACTGGAAGTAAACTTACAAAATTTAAAGCTAATCATATATACACTCCATGCATCATGATACATGTACACCAGATACAAAATCAGAAAATAAAAATAAAGACTTAATGGAAATGCCTGATACACAACTGTATCTGAAGTTTATGAGACTCATAATAAATATGAACTTTTCCTTCATACAATCTATATTCCTGTAGGTACACTCTTGATTTAATTATGAATAGATAAATATGCTCTGTCAGAAGTAATTTTGGTTAAAAAGTACATATACTTTACTCTGGAAAAATGTAAATTCTTACTAGGAAAAAAGAAGGGCACCTTTTCCATAAATATTTATATACAATATAAATAAATATCAAATCTTACATCTGAAGGTTATGAATGAAAAAGTAACAAAAATACCTATATGGACCCAAATAAAATAATCAATCTAAAGAATATGAATATGGACAATAAAATCAGTTTGGAACAAGAGATTCATAAATTTTCAGATTTATAAAAAAAAAAATTGGAAATACTGTATATATAGCAAAATGTTTAATGACAGCACCTTTGGAAATTAACCAGTCAATTCCATGAAGAAAAACAGCTGATTTAAGATTTCAGTAACAACATACATGTATCATTACATATGCCTGCCTAGTGTCAGGAGGTTTAAGTCTTTATCTGTCTACTAAGCACAGTGACACGAAAATCAGTCGAAAAAACGACTTGTTTTAATATCTCAGCTGCTCAGTACTGAATAGCACATATGTTGTAATAAGCTTGAAAATAAACTATGCTCTGTAAGAAACATTCTTATACACAAGAAAGTGGATGAAATTACAAGCCTTGTATCCTTTACAATGCTTTAACATGGCAATTTCAAGATTCAGAATGAAGAAATTAAACAGAAATACGCAACTTATATGACATATTTCACTCATCTTTTCTGTAAAAGCTATTGTGATTACCATTCAACTTGAGTTGTGGTTTCTGTGGTTTTAATATATCACTTTTAAACAATCGCCAAAATAAAACCACATTAATTACCGACATGACAAACATGGATAATGAAAGACAACAGTAAAAGATAAAGGGTACTCGACTGGGCTCTATGTACATTCCATATAATATTCTACAAACGGAGAACCCACGACAGCTCACAAAGGTAAATAAGTTCAGATACGTAACAAGTTTATAGAACCAGTGATTGAATCCTATCTTCGACATCTGAAGGAGTTTTCGAGAATGGAGGAAAAAACTGTTTATTTCTGCCATCAAGGCCACACAGTTGTATCCAATACATGAAGCTTGATGAACATTCCACCAGAACATTGAAGTTACCTGGGGGAAAAACCATAGTTAAATACTCATGATAATTAAGAAGTATGAATGTGTGAAATGCTGATGGCAAAATTGTATTCCTTAGAATATTTGCTTCACTGGTGCTAGTATAATAAAGAATGACTACATGTATATGAGTAAATTTATGTACATACTGGTACATTTCACAAAAGAAGATGCACAAAAATAATTCTTTTTTAAAAGTTGAAAACGCCCATTACTAGTATCTGAGACATTTACACTAACATATAATTATCGTATCATGAAAAAAATATCTGTTGACCACATATGGTTACACAATCATGTTAACTTATTATTACATGTGTATTTCTTCTATAATTCACTGACAAATTATCAAGGTCTGACTGACAAATTATCAAGGTCTGACAAATGCATTAGGTAAAACATGAAATTGCTCTTTTACTTTCAATTTCAATTCATTAAATAAATATTCATGCATGAAACATGTTATAAAATAAAAAAAGAAAACATAAAATTGGCTCGACTTACTGCTATATGGTGTAGTGTGACCTCCCAGTTAATTAAAAGTCTGTTGTTTAGGTACATATCAATTGAATCATAAATGAAATACCCTGAAAGTAGAATATATATACAAATAAGTTTTTCAATAACCACATTTTTTGTATCCAATTTGCACATTAAAGTGATACATATTTCCCTAGCAGCAGATACATGAACAATCATTTTCTTCTGCATGTCATCTTTAAATTTGTTCAAGTATATTTAACAAATTTAACACAAGAGGCCCATGGGCCACATCACTCACCTGAGTAACTTTGGCCATGCTGTTCTTTACCAGATTTCCCCCCTTTTAATATACCTATTGTGGCCCCGCCCTACCCCCGGGGGTCATGATTTGAACAATTTAGAATCTACACTACCTCAGGATGCTTCCATATAAGTTTCAGCTTTATTGGTCCAGTGGTTCTTGAAAAGAAGATTTTAAAAGATTTTTCTTATATATTTCAATGTAAAACTTGGATTCCCTATTGTGGCCCCGCCCTTCCCCCGGGGGTCATGATTTGAACAATTTATAATCTACACTACCCCAGGATGCTTCCATATACGTTTCAGTATTTCTGGCCCAGTGGTTCTTGCGAAGAAGATTTTTTAAAGATTTTTCCTATATATTTCAATGTAAAACTTCGATTGTATTTCAATGTAAAACTTGGATTCCCTACTGTGGCCCTGCCCTATCCCCGTGGGTCATGATTTGAACAATTTATAATCTACACTACCCCAGGATGCTTCCATATAAGTTTCAGTATTTCTGGCCCAGTGGTTCTTGCGAAGAAGATTTTTAAGATTTTTCCTATATATTTCAATGTAAAACTTGGATTCCCTATTGTGGCCCCGCCCTACCCCCGGGGGTCATGATTTGAACAATTTAGATTCTACACTACCCAAGGATGCTTCCATATAAGTTTCAGCTTTTCTGGCCCAGTGGTTCTTGAGAAGAAGATTTTTTAATGACTCCACCCTATTTTTGTCTTTTCTTGATTATCTCCCCTTGTAAGGGGACTTGGCCCTTTATTTTAACAATTTACACTCCCCTTCACCCAAGGATACTTTGTACCAAGTTTGGTTAAAATTGGCCTAGTGGTTCTCGAGAAGAAATTGAAAATGTGAAAAGTTTACAGACAGATGGACAGACGGATGACGGACAACGGGTGATCAGAAAAGCTCACTTGAGCTTTTAGCTCAGGTGAGCTAAAAATTCACTTGACATGCTTCTCCAGGGTGTGCAATTAAAAAAATTAAGCACTAGCCCACGGGCTAGTGCCAGCAATACAGTTACTAGCCCCAAGTAAAAAGTTACTAGCCCAAATGGAGGGGATGGGGTGGGGAACTAATATTGAAAAAATAGTTTATTGTTGAAAAAGTCAGGGTTTTTTACTAGCCCAAGGGGCTATCTCCGTGCAGAAAACTACTAGTCCTACCCCAAAATATGGTAGCCCTGGGCGTCAGGCGATGCTAATTGCACACCCCTGTTCTCTGAGGTTGGAGGGTAGGGATTTGATATGTGGGTCCAGGAAATAATTTAGCACTCTAAGAAAGCATGCATTGGATACAAAGATCTCAGCACAAGGATACATATTTAAATTTTACACTTATTAAGTGTATATTACACTTGCTTAGTGTATTACATTTAATATGTGAAAAGGTTAACTTAAACTGAATATATATGATCCTTGTGCTGCAGATACTTTGAATTTCCTTGCGTCCTTATATGTGTGTTTTATTATCATAGTAGGATTTCTTAATTTTTTAAACAAGGATTATTTAATATTTTACTCATATATACACATTAAGAGAAGGAAGGGAAGGGGGACAAAGGATTACACATAATATATTACCCCTCATCTCAATTATTAATATTTCAAGTCTAAATAATGTGAAAACATCCTAAATTATGACACACAATTAAAGCTTGACTAACTAAGTATATGAATGCCAGTAGCATTTGACTTCAACGCAGGTACATGTACATCTAGAAAAAACACTGTTTTGCAAAGTATGAGCAGAGCAGGAAGTTTTTCTCCCTTTTTAAGCTTATAAGGCCTCCCAATCTTAATTGATCATTAAAATATACATAATTATCTATCCTCTGTGCACTATATAGCAATCAACTCCCTTTCATGTTGGGTTATGCTAATAACTACACATACTGTCTATTTATAAAACCTGAATATTTTAATGTGCAGTTTCAGACATAACTCAAAATCTAATAACATTTGCTATCTATCAATTTCCAACTTTTCTCTGCAACTTTCTCTCTTCAGCCTGGAAGTATACTGACTTCAACTATTACATTGTGCTCTACATTTTATGATTTAGATCATTTTATGACTTAGATCATTACTGATTAAGTTCAGAGTATACAGACATAAAATAACAAAATCTGAATTCCCTTGCGCACTTTACACCGACTTTATGCGCCTGATTAAATATCAAAAAAAAAAAATATATGATCACACCAACAAATATTTCATAACTGTACAGTCTGTAAGTGTCCCCAAGCATGACCATGCAAGCATAGAGGAGAGTGCAAGCCTTGTTAATTGTCTTATAAAACATGTAATACTGACATCCAGTTGAACTTCACTATCTCAAACACTGATATCTTGAATACCATGGATATGTTGAAGTGACTTGGAAGTCCCAACCACTTATTCTTTAAGTATTTTACCCTTGATATCTCAAATACTTGGATATCTCAAAGTTTTTTCTTCAGTCCCATAGTTTGAGATAACGAAGTTTAACTGCATTTTCTATTTACTGATGATAAAGAGCAAATGCAAACTGGGTTCTGACAATCAAGTGCCCCAGGGTATACTGATGTCTGATGGGAACCGAACCGAAACTTGATTTCGAGCCAGAACTGTACAGACCGAGACCATCTAGCTCATGCTTCATACACTTTAGCTGCTCAGGAAAATAAGTTATATAGTACTGTAGTGATTCAGGGGGAAATGTCTCAACACAGAGATAATGAATCTAAGGCACTACTGACTGACAACATTCTTCATACTATAGAGCACTGTCATGTAGGAAGCCACATTCTTTTCTTTTAATCCTGCACAAGGTTATTGGATAAACTGTGAATTTTTGGATGCAGTATCATCTGGAATAGTATATTATATTTACAATAGACAATGCTTTTACCTGTAGAGAAAGCTATCATCATATAGGTGAAATAGTTGATGTGTTCAATTAGGTCATCAAAGATTTCTGGATACAGAACGAAACTAAGAAAAAATAGGAAAAGAAAATAAATCATTCATAAAATCACTCCAACAAATCAGTGCAATAATAAAGTAATATTATGTCTGTGATTGAGTGTAACGTTAATAAAATCAATTAATGTGCCGGTGTACCGGATATGATTTTTTTACTGGTCGTATGGGGCCCCTTACGTTACTAATATAGCCATGGGCATTAAATACATAGAATTAAATTAACAAAAGGCTTTTACATTCCAAACATGTAATTCATACCACAATACATTCCATGTGCCACATATCATTCCGTGAATCCATGATATAACTAAATTCCTCCATCGCCATGGATCGTCTCTGACACTCTGCGGAGTTTTTACACATTGTGATACAAACTTATTCAAAGAATGAAAAATAATTATGGTTGAGAGCATCATTAGGTACCCATAGCGAACGTCTACTTCAACTTTCCTTAAATCTGAATCGGATGCCATTTTTTAATGAAATATTACTGGTTACAGTTTACATGTGTCTGATCCAAACCGGGCAAGCCAAGGCCCATTTAGTCACGTGACTTGTAAAGCCGCTTCTGTCATTGCATATTGTAAACAAAACATCGTGTTGCCAGGCTTAGAACAACACATGGACGTTTTACTTTACTATAAACTTTACAATGTATGTCAGTACAAGGGTTTTGTTGAAGTGAGATCTCATATTGTTAGATGTTCAAAATTTAATATTTATTCACATTTTTTTTTGACACGAGTAGGATAGACTTTAGAGTGGTAATTTGAAACTTTGGCCTGGAATTTTTCATACCGAGAAATCAGTGTTATTTTCCCTTTCTTTTCCCCCTCTTGTTTGTATCTCACAGGAAATTGTCGAACAAATTCTGCATGCAACTCGAATTCAGTGCATATTCTGCAAAAGATTTTTTAATAGGACTTATATTAATATATATACAGAGAATAAACTTTTTTATAATCAAACATGAAATACCATAAACTATCATATTATCAAAGGTCGAGTTTTTATTATCTAATACATTTTTCATATGTGAATACCTGTGAGCACTACCCCCTTTGTCTACAATGCTAAGCTTTGCATGTCTATTTGGTATATAATCTTTCACTTTAAGTTGTATTTTAAATACAAATTGAATTTAATAATATGTAGTCGAAACACATACACTAACTGTAATATTACTATTAAATAAATGCAAAGTTTTATCACTGAGTGCTTTCAAATTGCTTGAACCTTCTATGTAGTATGTACACTGTTGTCTTTAAGCATCAAATTTATCTACAAATGTCTTTCTTGTACGCTTTAATGAACATTATTCTGCATACGAAATATAATGTAGCTGAAATTATCTATGAGAGAGAGAAAGAGAGAGAGACTTTGTTCCATCAGCTGGAGGAAAATGGAACAAGGGAGAACTTTTGTGTACCTGAACTTTTTTGACAGAGAAACAATACCTTAGTAGCTACTCTTTGTAGCTATACTAGGCACCCGACGAACTAAATAAGTTATAAAATATAAAGTTTCTACCATTTTTTACAAGTGTTTATCAAACAAACAAAAAATGAAAACCAACATGTACAATGGAAATTATTTCATCATCAAAGGGTTTTTTTTCTGATGTATCAAAAGGATTCTTTTTATAAACTCCTTTGTTAATTTCACCGCTTGAATTGTTTAGAAAGAGTATTTTGGGTTTATTTTGGGTTTGTACTTAATTATGCATGAGTATACGTCAGTGTAATTAAAGTTTCATTTAAATTCCATTGGTTATGCTGCATTAACGATGAAAATCTCCCTCGAAGCGGAGCACCCTGTGTGTTTACAAGATTTTCTTTCTTACCTTTAGTATTTATATAAACCGTAAAGGGACGATCTCTAAAATTTAACAAAAACGGAAAATGATATCTAAATTACAACTAAGTATTGGTTTGATAAGCTAGGAATTCATGTATATTTGCTAAGTTATCGTGCCAAAAAAATTCTCAGAAGGAAGCGGGGGCGGGGGTTGGCCTGGGTTGGGACTTGAAATTCTGGGCAATAGATATAATTGTTTTAAGATGTTAAAAGTATGAAGTATTTCACTTCCAAATTATAATAAATCTTTTTATACCTTAAATGCAAAAAGATTTCTTAATCACCATTACGGAAGTTAAATTCTTAAGTGCGGCAACTATTTTGGTCTAATTCAATTTGTTATGTCGAAAAATAATATAACTCGAAACTAGAATCGATCATATTTATACAGGTTCTGAAAATTTCGTCTAGCAATTTTCAAATGAGTGAAGAGACATTAAGATTTGAGTGGAATAAGTTTTTAAACATTATACATGTATTATGTTCATGTCAAAACTGTAACTACATTTACAAAACAATGTGTGTATACGTATGGATGTTACGTATGTATTAGGATTTAAATCGATCTTTTACATTATAAATGTGATGTAACATTTAACAGTATATTTGTAAGCGACATGAAGAATTGTTACTTGGTCACGTTTTTGTAGAATGACTGGTTTACACAATGGTCCATTTTTTCCTTCAAGTGAATGCTCCTTATCTAATATAGGTTGTTGTTTTTTTTTCAAATGTACGTTATTTAGATGATAGATGGTTATCATCATAATAAATCAAATGAATCATAAAACCTACAAAAACTTGAAAATACTTATGCAAAAAGTGGTATAGTCTGACTACATTTCTTTTCAAACGTAGCTATGTAAGGACAATTCACAGCCTAATTACATGTAGTACCATTTTATACTGTAACTCCTCATTCAATTTGTACACCAATGTGATTTATGGCTCCTAGAATTCCAAAGGTGATAATTAAATTGTTTATTTAAATTTGAACCCTGGGAACACATATTTCACAGTTCAATACAGGGTTTATAACTGAATAGAATCAGGCTTATATTTGCCTTTAGAACATCAAAGTAAAGATGTCAAGTCATGGAGTGGTAATGCATCTTCGTACAATATTCAAGTATAGGACCTATATCTCACTTAGCCCCAACCTAGGGTCTGGACTCCTACATGTAACCTTGGAGACTTGAATTCAACGTACAATTATTGTAGAGGGCTTCAGGCGCGGATTTATAACTTTTTCAAAGGGGGGGGGGGGGATTTGAATAATAGTTGTTATACCGTACATTCACATAGTTACACGACAACTTAATACGAATACTCAGGCCTGTAGCAACGGTTTCATAAGTTGGCGGGGGGAGCAACTTGCCCAAAAATTGACAAGCAAAAATAAATAAATAAATAAGAAAGAAATGAATAAAAAAAAATTTAAAAAAAGAAAGAAAAAAAAACTTATAAGCTGTCCAAATCCTAGAATACGCCATTTCTCGACCTAACAGAAATATAGCAAAATACTATACTCAGAAAAAAGTGCCCCCCCTTCCGCCCGTGTTCTACGGGCCTGATACTATTAATTAATAACAACACTTTTTATAATAAAGAAACTAATCAGATATATGTAAAATTAAAAAAAAAAGTAAAATACTAAATTTAAAATTTTAAATGTAAATCAGGTCACTTCGCTTTAGCGATGTGAAAATTTGCCTATAAAATCCCAGTATTTCATCTGGATGGATCCGTTTAAGAAAGAGTGTGTGAAAAAAAAAATTGAGTTATTGTAAGTAAATATCTACTTCGCTACCACATCCTATTTTGTGATGATTTGAATCGAGTAGATCTTCAAAGGGAAAAAAAGCCAAAAATAAAAACCAACAATACAAAAGAAGAAACACTGCTTTTGCAAGCCGAAACATAAGTATGTCCTCTCGACCCCAGTTGTGTTATATTGGATTTGAAAACAGTAAATATTCATCTAAAGTTGTGCAAAATTTCAAATTAACCATTTTTTAGTTCCACCACAACTGCAGGTATTTTGGATATTCAATCTCGATAAACTTGGAGAGACAATGTATTATAATTATAATCAGATGTCAATCTCCATCTCTTTTCACGTAAATAATCCATGAATTGATCATTCAAAATATCATGTTTATGATGTTGACTTAAAATCGGTAAAGCAAAGTGGTAAAACTAGACAAAAGCAAAACCGTTTCTGGAAAAATAAATCAACAAATACATGTATTCGTGACTCTCCTCTCTCACTTTTTCTCTCTTTAGCAAAGCCGTGGGGGGGGGGCAACATCCGTAACCCCCCTAGATCCGCCACTGGGCTTTATTACATAATATCTAGGGATGAAAATATTTTCAGAGTTTATTTTGTAGGTTCTACTCCTATGGTCCTTGCATGGTGAGGATATCCCATCTTTGTATTCTACTTTCTTAAAAGATAATATACATATTAAATGGTAAAAAACAAACAAGAGGGTCATGGACCACAGTGCTCACCAGAGTCACTTTAGCCCTGCTGTTCTTCATACGATTTTCCCCCTATATACATGGATTCTTACGTAAAACTTTGATCAGTTTTTGTGGCTCCACCCTACACCCAGGAGCCATAATTTGAATCTACACTGTATGAGGATGCTCCTATATTCATTTGACTAATCATGGCTTTGCTGTTCTTTAGAAGATGTGTAGAGTTTTTTCCTCTATATAATATACCTGTGTAAAACTGATCACTAAATGTGGCCCCCACCAAGGGGCAGGGGAAGGGGGAGGGGGTCATGATCTGAACAAATTTGAATCTACACAACCTGAGGTTCGTTTCATATTAATATGACTAGTCATGGCTTTGCTCTCTTTCAGAAGATTTTGAACTATTTTTCCCTATATATTCCAATGTAAAGTGTTGATCACCTATTGTGGCCCTGCCCTATCCCTGGGGGTCATGATTCAAACAAACTTGAACTCTATATAGCTGAGGATGCTTCCATATTATTATGCTTTGCTGTTCTTGAAAAGATGATTTGTAAAGATTTTTACTATATATTTCAATGTGAAACTTTCATTCCCTATTTTGGCCCTGCCCTACCCCTGACCCTGATTTTGACATTTTAGAATTTATACTACCTCAGGAAGCTTCCACATAAGTTTTACCTTTTCTGGATTCTTGGGAAGATTTTTCTTATATATTTCAATCTAAAACACTCATTCCCTTTTGTGGCCCCATCCTAAAGCTGGGGATCTTGATGATAAAATTAAGAATCAGCACTTTCTCAGGAAGCTTCCACATAAGTTTCACCTTTTTTGGCTTAGTGGTTCTCGAGAAGATTTTTCTTATATTTTTCCATGTAAAACTTTCATCCCCTATTGTGACCCACCTTATCCCCCGTGAGCATGATATAAAGAATTTAGAATCTTTACTTCCTAAGGAAGCTTCCACATAAGTTTTACCTTTTCTGGCCCATTGGTTCTTGAGAACAAGATTTTTTAATGACCTCATCCTAGTTTGGCTTTTTGTGATTATCTCCCCTTGGAATCAGACTTTATTAGTCTTTATTTAGACAATTTGAAATTCCCTTTAACCAAGGATGCTTTGTGCCAACGTTGGGCAAAACTGGCCCTTTGGTTCTTGAGAAGGAGTCAAAAATTTGAAAAGTTTACAGTCGGACAGACAGATAGATGGATGGATGATGGACAATGGGTGATTAGAAAATCTCACTTAAGCTTTCAGCCAAGGTGAGCTAAAAATGGCATTGTGGTTCTTGAGAAGAAGTCGAAAATGTGAAAAGTTTACAGCTTCTTCAGTGAAGAAATTGAATATGTTTAAAAGTTTACACAATGTGACAGATGGGAACATACAGGTACAGCCTAAGTTATTGAATGATGACATGATAAAATTAGTGGTTAAAAACTGAATTTATACAGCAATCATAAACAATACATATATGCTAACTTGCAGTACAATCCTGTGTTTATCAATATTTATTTGGAAGAAACAATGCTATTCAAACTTATATATAGATATATTTTGATTATGTACACTTTTACATTTTATGGAAAAAACCTAATTTCACACCTTGATGGACATTTTAACTGTTATGGGAGTCCCACAGTAGGGACACTCTCCAAATATAGTGTTGAAGCTCTGTCTGCAAGATGGCAGTCCTCTCAACCACTCAATTAAACATGTCTGATGGAAAGGCTGGCCACAGCGAGAGTCATTACAAACTTCTTCAGGGATCTCCATTCCTAGTCTGTATGAGTAACAGATGCCACAATCTGCACTGAAATCCTCCTTCTTTGAATCCGATGGAGAAGGAAATGCAACATTTAACACAGTGGACAAATTTGTAAGGATGCTATCATTTTCATTCCATAAATGAAGGTTAGATGTCATATTTTCACGCAAAGGATTGGTAGCCTGATTTGACCCCATGAATTTGATTTCTGGTAAAGTACATGGATGTTTGGGGTCCACAGCTATTTGAACAGAAGCACTTGCACTGATTGCTATTCTTCTATTGGTGGCAGCAAATGTTGGATTATCTGGTTCAAGAACCCATGTTTTCTGGTCTAATTCACCTAAATTATTCCATAGATCTTGGTAAAGCTCAACATTATGAATGAACTGATTGAATAAATCTAAGAGTGTACTGGAAGATGTCCAAACTACATCAAATTTAGCCGGTAAGTCTACAATAACTGCAGGTGCTTGTCTTGGATGTTGGGAATGAAGTTTGATTTTCATGAGATGCGGTCTTTGTTTTTCATCAGTGTACTTTATCTGGAATGACTGAAAATCTGCATCAACAGAGGTTACTCTCTCCCAGCCAATTTTCTCCAGTTCTGAAATCAGTTGAGCACAGTTGTTACTATAAGTAGCTGATCTGTTTTGTTCTAGGGAACTAATTTGCTTCTCAGCAATACTTCTCAGCTCCTCCAAGAAAGCTGGAAGATTCTCACACTGTGCCAATCTCTGCTTTAATATTTTGTCATACTTTTTCAAAATTTGTTCAAGTTTCCATTCATATGTTAACTTTGCATCTGTCAGTTTTCCATCTTCAGGCAATTTAATGTTCATTCTGTATTCCTTATCTAAAATTTGAATATATCCATCATATTCTGTAAAATCAAAGTTTTTTGGAAGTAAACATGGGAACTTCCTTAACATCGTTCTGCTGTTTTCATCCACACTGCAGTTTATCTACAAAGCAAAAATGATTTAGAAATAAGTTAATAAAGAAATAACAAGAGGTCTAAACCACAAGGCTTTGGATTGCTTTAATTCAACTGACAAAACTGGGGGGTATAAAAAAAAAAGTTTAAAGTAAAGAAAAATAGGTCAATTTTGGAATTGATTTCAACATATCTTGGAAAGTACGGTATATGGAATTTCAGAATGAACTTCAGTTGTAATGTAGATTGTTTATATGTCAATACATGTAGATATGAATGGAATGTTATCATTTTAAATCATTTGATTTATGAGTATTTCATTGGGGAATGTGGGTACCCTATGTTAGGAGCTCCATACCAATAATTTTTTTATACCCCTAGTTTTGCCAACTGAACATGCTGAAATTGTATAGTTTAAATATTGCTGCTTTTTGAACACTTTTAAGCAAAAGATGAATTTCCATCGTTTGAGTAACTCTACACCACCTAGATAGAACGTTCTATCGTTAAAATGTTATTGTCCTGTGGACCCGGTTTAACGATAGAATTCGTTCAGTGTATTGGCAATGTAGCAAAATAAACACCAGTGATAACTCCAACTCAGGTCATTTACTGTGAACAATCCAGAGAGTTTCAAATGTCATCATTCATGACATGTAAATTCAGAGCGAGAAAAAAAGTTGAGAAAATGAGTAGTTTTTTCATCTCCTTATGGATTATTTTTTAGGTTAAAAGGCAAATACAATCTCAAAAAAGGTTTGCAATGTTTAATTTGGTTGTTATTATCAGTGCAATTTTTGTTTTGAATATTTCATCATCATTTCAGAGCGGATCCGCTTCGATTTGCAACATCGCAACTATATGGAATGTATTCTGTGGTGAGGGCTTGTCTTGAGTTAGATAATTCTAACTATACACCACCTTGTGTGCAGTGAGGCACGGATAAGTATTATTACTTCACATTGTGCTGAATTATTACCCATCAATTATCACATTAACCAGAAGTGATCTTCATTTTATATCTCATTCAAGAAATAACTGTTTAGTTACAAATTAACTGTTGTATTTAGCTCCAAATCCTTTAAAACTTTGACTGCAGACTTATCTTTTTCATCTTCATGAATTGTTTCAGATCCGTTCAAAGTTGAAAATAATTACTGCATCAAAGTGTGATTTTTTGGCAGGAAAAATGCTCATTTAAAAAATAAGTATCAATTAATAGCTAAATAAATCTACTTCAGGTAGGTAAAAATAAGGCTATGTAGGTAATTCAAGCTACATAACTAAATCAGTAAATGTAGTGATTGTACCGGGCGGAGGACCTGAATACATTACTGTGGCCTATAATTACATTCCAAATGTTTCATTATAAGCTACCTTTATACTTTGTTGAAAACATAATACCATGCAAAGGAGGTTTTTCCTCAAAACATAAATAATTTATACCGTTTTATCCATAGGTCAATTACTAAATCTATTTTCAAGATTGGCGGACTTTCTCTTAAAATGAAAGTAGAATGCTTTGCTAACTCCCACCAAATTTATTCGATGATTTTTTTCTTTCTTAGATCAAATTATAACAAGTTGTTAAAGCATTATCTTAATTAGTTATTAAAAGTGTATCCTAAGTTTATATTATTGGAGTATAATATTCATGATATACATTCAAAGGATTTTATTTTAAATTCTTAAACCATGATATACAGTTTATGAACGATTTAACAAAAATCATCCAATATGGCAGCCTCCTGGAAAAGAAACATGCAAGATTGAAGATAAAGATTGAAGAAATGTAATCTGAACGGGAAATTAACATAACTTTCTGCAAAAAATATGCATTATTCCAGTACAACTGTGTACACATATCATCGAGGCAAATCAATTTAAAATTTTCACCAGGTGTAATGTTTTCCAGAGTAATAATCAAGCGTTCGGTCATCGCTAAAGGTTGTAACATTAGACTTTGTAGATCATTACGTGAATCACCCTCCAAAAAAATCGAAGAGAACACAAAGGATTCCGATAAATCAGTGGAATTATCTGGGTCAGAGTGTGATGATTATTTAGGTGTAAATTTATCTATCCTAGAGCATGTAGAAGATAAAGTTGTTTCAGAGGAAATTCAGAATGAACAGACGAAAGAAGAATTGTCACGTACGTATGGTATAGGGGTGTATACTAAACCTCATGCATACGATTCTCAGGTTCTTGAAACTAACTTTGGAAGCATTAAGGTAGATAGGGTGAGAAAGGGATTAATTCCTTTGAAGAAAGATTTTTCCAATTTGAAGCCAACACTGGGTTCGATAGCTGATACATTGATAAACTATCGTAAAAAGGTAGATAAGAAAATATCACCTCATTCTGTTTCTCAGTTACTGTTAAATCAAAAAGAGCATGATGATGAAAATGATAGTTCAATCAACAAAACAACAAAATTAGAGAATCAAGATCAACACAAGAATGGAACTGAACTTCAGTCTGGAACAACAAACATGCTGGAAACAACTATGCCACATCATAAAACTAGTAAACATGTTCAGGAAATTACAGTTGAAGGAAATGAAACTTTAGGCTTTCAGGTACCTATGCATCAGGGACCTAGCAATTTAACCCACAAAGAAAGTGATCAATTATTAACTCAAGCAGAGGGTGTTAATGAAGAAATCACAACTAAAGAAGATTTAGATACCATCAGCACAATTTCAAAGTCTATATATGAAAAACCAGTTTTTGATAAGTTGCATCAAGTTCATGAACAAAGAATACTGCAGATGAATGCATCAGATACAGCAAAGAATACAGAGGTTAAAAAAATATCAGTTGGAACTGAAACTTTATCATTAAATGGTAAAAGTACAAAGGAAAGAAATGCAAAATTTGCATCAAAACATTTGAAAGGTTTATTAAGGGAAGATGTTACATTGAGTGAAACAAATTTACACTGTAGAACTTCAGAATCTGAGAAACTGCTTTCAAAGAGCACATTAGAACAAGTAGTGAAAATTGGACCATTGAAACACCCAGGAGATGGTTTCTTGGAATCTTGTGAAAATAGAATAGATCAGCCATTGCCTTTAATGCTGGAAAAAGAAACTGATATTTCACAAGAGATGGGGAACTCTGTTCCTGAAAGAGTTGTGCCAATGTCAGAATTGAATTCGTGCCAAGAGACACCAATGGTTGAGAATGCAGCATATAAATATTTTTTGGATCTTCAAAGACAAGAAGAAGGTACTTTTATAACAAATTTTCTTTGGATACTTTTTTTCATTATAATATATTGTTTCTATTTAAAATCTTGCAGAATAATTATGGTTAATCATTATCCGCCAAAGCTTTAGTTGATAACAGGAAAGGATAATTTCATACTATATAATTTATAGTGCCAACAATTGACAAGAAATCTACAGCTAATTTAAGCAAGTATCTCCCCAAAAACCTAGACAAGCTGACAGAGGAGGAGGTATTGGAAGAACTGATGGAGAATGTTATTTACAATAGAGGTCAGACATTGAACAATTATTGTGTATACATCTATATTGTAATGGTATATACAATAGAGGTCAGACATTGAACAATTATTGTGTATACATCTATACTGTAATTGAACATGAATTTTTGTTAATATGGTGATCAATTAACAACAAATTTTGCTAATGATAGAAAGACAAGGTAGCTGTCCATGAATTTACATAACATTGAAATTGTATGTTTTACAAAAACCCCTGAAAAACTTATAAAACCGCAGTATTTGACTTTTGAAGTAATATATATACAAACCAAGCACAAAGTATGAAGTTGAAATGCTTCTCTGTAAAGTCAGTATTTCAATGGATTGACCAAATAAAAGGAATAAATTTCTTATATTATTTTCTTTGGAACAACAAAATCATTGTAGTAGAATTCTTATGTGTTTGATAATCATCATAATGAAAATGTTTACTTTGAAAATCATCATATTTAAACAAATTTTTGGATTTTTATGATCTTATTTTTAGGTTCTCAACTAAGTATTGGAAAATGTATTTTAAAATGATATAAAGTAAACCAATCAGATTTGTTGAATTACACAGAAAAAAATAATTGTATGGTTTAAATGTATTTATCAAGTAATGTTTTGATTATGTGTGTCAATGATATTATTTCAGATGATATTCTTGCTATCAACAAGATTTATGGAATACCTTCACAAGGTAATACCCCCCCCCCCCCCCCAGCAAAATTAAACAACAACAACAACAACAAAAATAACATGATATGAATTTTTTTTTTTCGTTACAAAAAATGTGCTCTTGAACCTGAAATTCTTAAGATTAGTTGTAAAAGAAGATTTCAAGCCTGAAATGTGTAAAACCAATTAGATAATTTTTTTATTTTGAACATAATCAGGAGGGGAGGGAGTGAGACTGAACATTGCAGACCTTTTACCAAAACTGGCTGAGAGGATTCAATGTAAAGAACTCCATATGGTCCACAGACTAGACAAAGAGACTACAGGAATTATGCTGTTTGGCAAGTTAGTACAGAAAATAATGACAAATTACACTTATTAATGGTTTAAAATAAAATTCTTTGATATGTTATCTTAGAATGGATTGTGGATTTTTTAAAAAAAAAATTTTAAATGTGTTTGCTCCAAAGCATATTATGGATTAATTGAAAGTATAGGAAATGATAAGAATATTTTTAAAATGTCAGTAGGCATGAAAAATGAAAAACATTGTTTACACATCATAGAATCCAGACTGCTTGTGTTTATCCATGATAATCTCACCTATTTTACTTGCTAGATATTTTGTAACCTTTTGCTTGAATTTTGTAAAACTTGTCCTTTCAGGTCTGGTCACAGAAAAAAAGTCACTTTTAATAAATTGTTCTAAAGAATAATTTTTGGAATACAGATTCAATTCAAACTAAATTGCAATAATGAGTTCAATTACATGTACACTGAATGAAAATGATATTACAGAACTGAGGAAATGGCCAATAAACTGAGGAAAGCATTTAAAAAGAGAGAAGTAAAGAAGACTTATCTTGTTATCACAAAGGGAATTCCATCTCTCAAAGAAGGTTATTTGGTTTATTATTGTGACAAATGTTGATTTCTAAAGTTTCATAGTTTTTCAAAAGAATTTCTTGATAGCATTTTAATAATAATTTTAGGTATTATTGATGTACCTATAATGGAGGGAGAGGTTGGAAAAGACAAGAGGAAAAGGGTACGTAGATTTGTAATTCTTATAGGAGTTATTCCCCCTGTATTAGATTCATTAGTCCTAAGATTTTTTTTTTTTTTTTTTTGCTGAAATATACTCAATCTATTCACCAGTAAAACTTTAAAAAAAAATTTGATATTTGTATTACCAAATTAATTGCTAAACATTTGTTCCTGAATAAAATATTAGATGCATCTACATGTATATGCAGATGACGTGCATCCCTGTTTATGACTCTGAGACAAAGCATGTCATGCACAAAACCAAAAAGAAGCTAATGCCTGCCATCACTCATTATAAAGTAGTAGCAAACAGTAACAGTTGTGCTCTGCTGGAAGTTAGTCCTGAAACAGGTAAAATTTTTCATTGGAAAGGCCTACTTTGTACTTCACATTAAATATTCATATACAATAGTACATGTATAACATTTCAATTTATTTGAAGGGTTTTACTCTTCAAGATGGACACTTTTTATGCTATACTGACACAGAGATTTCTCAGATTATAAGAGAGACTTTTGATTCTGTGTTTCATGGAGAAATTTTCTTATAAGCTTAGCAGTAGTAATACATTGCATGTTGTTGGCACAGATTAATTCTCAGACAATGTCCTATAACAGCTTCTACTGAATTTGCTTGTGAGATATTGATTAATGTATTATTTCAGGTGTGAAGCATCAGATAAGAACTCATCTCTTTCATGTCCTGAATACACCATTACTGGGGGACCATAAGTATTCTTACCTGACTGAAATCAAACCACAGGTGATTTACTATATTGTGAACATGTAATCTAATTGCAAGGTGAAGATTTGGTAATGCAAGGAGTTATGCATGTATATATTTTGCACCTGAAAAATAAGAAATCAATAGAAAAAAAGCATGCATGCACTTAATGATATTTGGAGAAATCCGTTAAATACTGGGGTAATTGTTTATCAAAATCTACCTGGACTGTGAAAGGAGGAATGAAACTCTCCTAAGATATAACTAACATTGGTAAAATTCCTGTCTTTGTTTTTTTCAACAATTTCTTATATTTACATCAAATTTGTGGTATTCTTCATTTGCCATTGTCACAAGCCACAGATTTTTTCTATTCTGTTTTCACAGAAGTTTGTGGAAATAAAATGGACACAAACATTCCTGGCTTGTGATGTTGTTAATTTGCTTGAAATTAATTTTTTATTTCCATTTTTTCCTTTCAAATTATTTTAAAATAATCATTTTTGTAAGCAGAGAATAGATTCAAGCACAAAAAGAAAAAAATATTTTTAAAGTTCTACAATGTGGTTATTAGTTTCTTGCTTCTCTCTCAAATTTAGATTTTGCCTAGCGATGTTGTACAGAGACTTGAGATCAGACAAAGTAAAGCCAGGAACCTGCCCATGTATATCCATGCTAAATTCATCATGATTCCAGAATTTCTTGATGGCAGAAGTTTTTCAGTCCATTGTAGTGTGCCTAGGGCATTTAGATCCTTTTTGAAAAAGGTCAAAATTTCTCATAAAAATGTGGATGAACATGTTTAAAATTGAAATAATCATACTACTTAGTGTGTCTTTTGATTCTTCAGTTGCATTTTGGGAAAATAAGTAGTACATATAGATGTAAAGTATATATGTGCATTTGTTGGTTAGTGTGTACAGATATCTGTATGCATAGGACATGTGATACGACTTTGTTGATATTGATATTGAATAAAAATATCACTGAAATTTTGACTTTAATGAATTGGACTTTTAATCATTTTTCTTTTCACCTTTTAAAAAAGGAAACAAGAAATTGCAGGAAATTTCCGCTATTACTAGAGTGTTTCAAGGAACGCATGTGTGGCCTGCCTTTTAGCTTTATTAAAGATGTGAATAAATCTAAGAGTGGTCAGCTTTATTACTACTATCATTATAGTTCATGTAAAAAAAACAAACAAACAAACAAAAAAAACATGGATAGTACAAGACTGTGATACAATCTGATGAACAAGAAAATATGGTTCCCTAATCCTCAAATGAATAGTTTTATTGAAATTATTGAAAATAATTTTTAATCATTTTATTAGTACATCTCCAAAAGAGTTTACTGCAATGTTGTCAGTCTACACTATCCATTGTGGAATACCGATCCCGATGTATTTTCATAGTTAGTATGGTAACTGAATATCATGCAGTTTCAAAGTACAGTATCATGAGTTTCTTGTTTGCAATCACAGCAATTTTTTGTTTGATTGGACTTCCCTTAATGTGTATCCAGTTGTTTACATATAAATGCTAATTATCAAAACCCTACCTCTCAAAATTCAAAAGATATAAGTTAAAATTAAACTGTCTGGGTATTTTTTGCAAAGTATCTCAAAGATCAATGGGTTGTAACGCTGGTACTTTTTCATTATGCTTTATGACAAACAATGCACATACTAATTAGCATAGACTTACCTCTTGTATGCCAAAACATGTTGTATATCGGATTTTGAAAAATGGATCAAGGTCAATGGTAACGAGGTCAACAATACATTATCTATACTTGTAAAACAAATGGCTATTTCTTACTACAAAGAAAACTTTTATATTCCAGAGCATATTCTACAATATTGTGTTTGGTTAAAATTAACAATCAAATTTAAAGCAGTATGAGCTGAATTTTCATTTCGAAAATGTATTTTGTATAATTGTAATTTACTGTATTAATGACAAAAAATGAAGGTTTATTAATCCGTTATTTGTGTTGGAAAACTATTAAAAAGCTCTGCTTGAATCAAAATTATATTGTTCATTGTCATCCTGTACGAAAAATTGATTTCATATACGGTGCAATTTGATACTATACCATCCATTCTTTGATAAACTTTTTGAATTAATATGCCATAGATCATAGAGGTCTTAAGTTACATGCAGTGTTATCATAATAGCGCGTCTGTTTCTTAAAATGTAGCGATGCAAACTTACGAAAGCCCCATGAGCTCATTTTCGTAGGTTAAAATTTTTTTCGCGTTAGGCTATAACGCGAAAGTTTCGCAAATAAACGCGTGGCTTTCTCGAATGAAACGCGAAACTTTCGTGAATAACCGCGTAACTTTCGCGTTATAACGCGAAACTTTCCCTGTAAAACAGAGACAATTGCATTTATAAGTATCCATTTTCTTTTAATTTGATGATCTAGTTTTTTGATTACAACGAAAAATGAAATACTATTTTGAACTTGGATTACCACAAGCTGAAATTTTATGTTTTCTCGCCATTGAATGAAGCTTTCCCTTTTCTAAACCTTTCTTGCCGTCACAATTTGTCTTTCTCAACGCTGTTGAAACATTTTCAAAGTCTATGCGAGTTTTTCCAAAGTGAAACTCTGTAATTATGAATTTCGGGAAAATGACCCTCCCCCCCCCCTTTCCTGCGTCATTTTGGGTCTTTTCGGTCGCTTCTGCAGCTTTTTTATCATAAACTGATTTCACTTTTGTATATATTTTTAAAAGATTCCTGTCAATATCGAACCAAATTTAAATATTAAAATGATTTTAGACTGTGAAACAGAAAAATAATTCTATGTTTTTTTGTTTTGTTTTTTGTTTTTGTTTGTTTGTTTTGTTTTTGTTTTTTTGTATTTTTCCATTCATATAAAATTTACAATTACCAGCCCTTGATTGAATATTGTATGAGAGGTGGCGCTAACATTGAGGGAATGGGTCTAATATTAGACTTGATAAATACAATAACATGTATATAGAAAAACGTGATCATTATTTCCTATCTCTCTCTCTATTCTGTAGGGCACAATTACATTATTTACATAAGGTTTCATAATGAAATTAAGAATATAAGCACGTCCATGTTAGTAAAGAAGATTTTAAATCAATGTCAGACAATATATAGTGTTCGAACACAAAGTCCTAGTTAGCAAAACATGATACCTTACAAGTCATGTGACGGAATTTAGGCTTCACAGAGTTACCTGAGGTAAGAAATCACGTGGTAAATTATAATATTCAACATGTCACGACCCTTGCAATTGGATACAACACATACCAGTCATTCTACGATAAATGGACCAATTCCGAATATAAAACATGAAAAAAATAATTGTTTCAAATAGCTAAATGAACATCATAATTCTCTAAAGGACATATCAGTGAACTTGAAAACAAAGAATTGTCCACAAATCTGGTACCGTTAACTTTTTACAACAATTTCAATATACCATTAATTTTAAGGTAATGTTACGGAAGTTAATTAAGGAATCACTGTCTAGTAAGTAGAGTATGCCAGGGACATCAACGATAGTTGGAAACGTGGGATAATTTATGCATAACGGGCGAACCTTTTATTTCCATTTCATTTTGAAATAAAATTTTTAAAAATGTAGACTAAATTTAAATTACACGAGGCCTCACATGTCAATTTTAATAGTCAACGCCCACTGACGTCAAACACAAAGACAGCCGCACGAGAATTACATGCATATTAGGCCTCCTTAGAGTCAGGCACAAAGACAGCCGCATGAGAATTACATGCATATTATGCCTTCTTAGCTACTGACCTTTCGCTTGGCAAAATTTGCATTCCGTTAGAATGATCAAGAAATCAACTCTCCTAACTTTCAAAGAGTTATCACAGAGAAAACAAATAGAAATGGAAATATTGCTTGATCAAGCCTGATTATTTTTTAAATAAAGCTGAATTTGCCCAATTTTTCGTTTCTGATGTTCAATAAAGAACGCAAAAGTATGATTCATGAAGTCTCGCATGAATCCAAAATTAAATTAAATTTTCGGGAAATATATTCTTACGGAAGTTAATCATTACTGAAGTTAATTCCCAGCAATAAAAGTTCAAATTCTCTTCAATAATTAAAATCAAAGTTTGTTTTAGGATATTAGACAAAACTATGAACCATTTCGCTCCCAAAATACTAATTTTTTTAATACCTTTATTGCAAAAACTTTCCTGAATTACCATTAATTAATTTTTAATTTTAAGTTATCTTTTTTTAAGATAGACAACTGCTTTTGTCTAATTCATTTTGTTATGTCGAAAATGTAATAGTCTGAAATAGCTGACTCGCAACTAGAATCGTTGATGTAAGGTTCCGTGGTCACTTTCAGATAAGTTTCAGTTCCTTTTGAAATCTGCATTCTGTGCGTGAAATTTAAAACAAAATCGTTACGGAAATTAATCGATTTTAAGCGACTCATGCTATGATTTCGCATAAAAGAAGATCCATGCATTTCTTTGCAAGAAGTGGTTTTATTTCTTTTTATATAGGATAAAAAACTTTTTTAAACATTCATTGCAATCTATTCGGAACGATTTTACGGCTGAAAATTTCATCTTGAAATTTGTAAATAAATGAAGCGACATTAAGATTTTCAGTGGAATACGTTTTTCAACATTACATTATGTTCATATAAAAATTTCAACTGCATATATATCGGTGAATATTTACAAAACCATATGTGAATGTTAAGTCTTAGAGTTGAAATCGACCTTTAAATTTATAGTTAAGATATTACAACGGTAAATTTGTAAGTGACGTAAAAAAATCTTAATTGGTCATGTTTTCTTTAGAATGACTGATAAAGCAAATGTAAGAAGCAGTTTTTTTCTCTTTTAAACTATGTGCGCATGTTTGTCTTGATCTCCTTTTGACACAACATTATTAATGCAAATATACAACCACTGTTAAACGGAGAACAATAGTCGAACATGCGCTGACAGAGTATGTATGAAGGCAGTAAAAAAGTGGGCGTCCTCATTATCTTACGGAGATTCAAGATATTGTAATTAACCCCCCCCAACCCCCCCCCCAATCTTTGTAAACAGATTCGTACTTCGTAAATACATACTTTTTACTTTTTATTTAATGTAATTACGCAAAGTTGTAGATTGGATGTTGAAAATTCCTGTGATTAAAAGAGAAATGCTTGTTTTGAAAGTTTAATTGATCGCAAATTTCGCATGTCCTTAAGTGCAGTCATCCTTTGTCGATTATCGTTTGCTTAACTTTGCATCAATTGCCCGGAAAATCGACCTGTAAATTCACTTATCAATCTTTAAAAGATTAATAATAAATAATAATAATTACAATTAGATAATTATGTTTGCATAAGTTTGGTATTTTTATTTTTTACTTGCATTCATAACAATTTATTTTTTGTATGATTGGACTTCCCTTAAGGACATACGCAACGTAGTTTGAACTTTATTGTCTTTTTCCCTGGAGTTGAAGAGTTCCAATACTTAAAGGAACTGTGTGCTACATTTTAATGTCTATATATGCTGCTGTACACTTCTTCTAAAACAAGTTTGGATAAACAAAACATTCAGAATATATGTTTAGTATTTTTTGTATATTTTTCTTTGAATTATACAATAATTTTCATCAATTGATATCTTTTCAAAACCCCTGGTAATGCATGCTGAATTTTTGTGTACGAACATCTGATGGCATTATAATCTTAAATTAAGAATATCTTGAAAAATTATCAGTAGGTGAGGTACTTTGCATATGTCCTTAATGCAAATATCCGATTGAACTCTCAAATTTATAATAATGGGGAACATCAAGAGCAAAGAGACAGAAGAACTTGTGCACTGGAGATCTGTCTGCTTGTGAGTAAACAATTTTTCAGAACACAACTCCACATACAGTATTATCTGTTTTCAATTGGACGTGGTAACAAGAAGAATATTTTAAGGACGACGGACCTAATTCGAAATTTCGCGCCACTGCGCAGAAAACCGCGCATATGCCTTGAATCAAATTGACTTAATTATGTATTGCAAAAGATAAAAAACATACATTTTTAATTCTTTTAAAGATATTCAAACGTTTCCTTTCAATTTAAAAATATTGTAAATATTTCGATTTATATTCATTTGTTAATTTTATAAATAAATGATTTATTTGGCCAAGGTATTTTCATTGAAAATTTCCCCCAAAATGTGCCCTATACCTGAGTTTGACATGCCCCCTGAAAAATCTAGGCCGATGACCCATTATTTTTTGGCATAATTTGCTGGTAAATTGTCTAGTTAACATTGTCTTTTAATATAAATAAAAATTCTATTGCAGAATTTTTTTCAATGATCACTCTTATACCCTACACTGGCAATTTCCCATTACTTCCTATAGTAATTATCGTTTTCCATTGCCAGCTTTTGAAACGCTCCTCATTAAAATTCTACATCGATGACCATATGATTTTTGTATTGATTTCAACTCATCAAAAGTCACTTTACCTCATATTAAAATTTGAATAAAAAATCTATTGCAGAAATGAATTAGGTCCGTCGTCGTTAAAGGATGACTGTACTTAACGCCTGTTTTTGGGTCTTTTTCGGTTGCTTCTTTTGCTTTTATATCTAAACCTTATTTCACTTTTGCATGTTTTTGAGAGAATCCTGTAAATTTGGAACCAAATTTAAATCTTAAAATGATTTTAGACTGTGATACAATAAAATGATTCAATGTTTTTTGTCCTTACTGCTTTCCAAATATAGTGAATTTACACTTATCTGCCCTTGATTGAACATTAGGTATGCATGAGAGGTGGAGCTAACATTGTAAGAATGGGTCTAAAATTAGACTTGATAAATAACAATGACATGTTTGGAAAAAAAGAACGTGATCACTCTCTCCAATCTCCCTCTCCATTCTGTATGGTACAAATACACTTCTGACAAAGGTTTCAAAACGAAATTAACAATATGAGCACGTCAATGTAATTAAAGCAGATTTTATATCAATGCCAGATGACTTAACGTGTTCGAACACAATGTCCTAGTTAGCGCAAACATGCTACCTTACAAGTCACGTGACGGAATTTAGTATTCACAAAGTTACCTGAGGTAAGAAATCACGTGGTGAATTATAATGTTCAGCATGTCACAATCCTTGGTTACAACACAGAGAGCGAATGTAAGAAGAAGCAGTTTTTTCTCTTTTTAACCATGAGCGCATGTTTGTCTATTAATCTCCTTTTGACACATTATTATTTATGCAAATATACAACTACTGTTAAACGTAGAACAATAGACAAACATGCGCTGACTATGTATAAAGTCAGTAAAAAAGTGGGCGTCCTCATTATCGAACGGAGATTCAAGAAATTGTGATGACCTCTGCCTTTGAAAACAGACTCGAACTTCGTAAATACACACTTTTATTAAACGTATTTACATAAACTTGTAGATTGGATGTTGATCATTCTTGCAATGAAAAGAAAAATGCTTGTTTTAAAAGTTTATTTTGTCGCAAATTTCGCATGTCCTTAAGTGCAGTCATCCTTTAAGGTAATTTTGTGCAAAGTTTTTGATTTCGATGAACGATGTTACCATGAGTTCTAAAATTGGAAATTCTTTGGAAATGATTTCTTGTCTTATCGTAACATGCAGTATCCTTGACCTTTTGACCTTAAAAAAAAGTAAAATTACATGAACAATTCTGACGGCAAAATATGCATGACAATGTGACATTATCGGATTAAAATGTTTCCATTTACAAAAATTCACACTGATTGCTTGCTACAAATATTTGTGAATCTTTGGCATTATACTCCTAATTTTACTAAAATACCGTTCACTGTTAGTGATGTCATAATTTAGTTAATTCGTGAATCGTAAAGCTTTAAAATACGAAATCGCGAAAATTGTTTGTTTGGGTTTTTTTTATCGTAATAGTGTCACCCAATAGATTTAGATGAAACTCTATTGAAATATACTAAAAGGTTACTCCAACAATGGCCAGAAAAGCTTCTACTAATACAAAAGTGCGACCTCGTGTATGTATAGTACATCTCAAACCTGTTTGCCTCTGAAATGTAGCAACAGAAAAATCTGAGTAGTTACATATTTTTGGGAAGAAGAACTAGCAATTTTGATTAAGAACATTTTTTAAAAACGATTAGAAGGATCGATTTTTATTGGTTTGAACAATTTGTATAAAACAAAAGCATTTGTTGTTGGCATTGTTTGATAAATAGATAATGGAGCATGAGACTGCTTGTTGATTAGAAACCATTTCCACATTTCCATTCGTCACCAGTCCAATAGCAATCGTCAAACCCTGAAAGCAAAATAATCCCATATTAAGCTAAAGTTCATGTAAATAAGATTTTTAACAAAACTTTTTTAAGTCATTACAGTATTATTAATTAAAAAAAAATGAAAAAAATAACTGTAATAATACTAAAATATAGATGTAGTTTTAATAAAATTCAGACCATTTTCATTGTTTGTCATATAGTAAGATCCTTCGTCCCATGATGCACTAGCTGTTAAAGCCATGACAGATAACAGAAATACAAATAGAAGCAGGGATCTAAGCATGGCGTGTCTCCACTGACGAGCAGCACTAGTTAAGGCAGAGGGCAGGGATTCATAGACGATATTCAAGTTTTTATAAGTTTTGGAGCTACTGCTTTTATTTTCAGGAAATGTTCATCTTAACCTAACAAATTTATTCCTTGTTTTTCGATAATGTTTCATTATATTCAAAAGAGAAACAAATTTATTGTGATGTTCAAGTCGATGTATTCGTCATAAAATGCGACAATGATGACAGGAAACGCGTGTTAATGGTGTAAATTTTAGAACCTTTCCTTATCTTTGTTTTTAAAGGCAGATCTAAAGAATAATGTTACGATGGATTACATTAATATCCGGTACAACAAAATTAACCTTTATCAAAAAAAAAAAAAAAAAAAAAAAAAAAAAAAAAATGCAAGGAGTAAAAAAAAGAAGCTTGGATAAATTATTTAACTATCTTTTTATTTACAAAGTGGAATGGAAAAACTTTTATTATTTTGGTACCAATTAAAAAATCTATTTGTAATTTCCAACAGGACATAATTATGAAACTAAGATAACTAAAAGTAAAATTTACCTTAAAAACGATATCCTTCAAGGTACCTATAATTTTCTGACAGGAAATCCCCGTTTTGATCGTCCCAGTACTGGGCAAAAGCCGCCTGGATCATGGCAACTATAGCAAAGGCTGAAACTTGATAGAAGAATTGGCGAACTGATTCCATATCGGTGACTTCGAGTAAAAGTAAGTATATGAAAATCTGTGTGCTTACTGCTAAACGTGAAGTGAAGACTAACTGTCGAAGCGTCAGCTTATATAGTCTCGAAATGTTCAAACATCGTAAAAAATATACTGAGACGGATGTTTCAGGGAATGTTACACAAGAATTTTATAGCAAGACGGACACAATTCACGCCTTTAAATTTGGGAACTTCCTCGCCAATTTTACGTTAATTGGCTGAACCAGCTTCTGTGTACATTATACACGGTGATTTCTGGTAAACTGCAGTTCTTCATATTTTAGGGACAGATTGTGACTCAGATGAGGATGAGACTCCTTAATTCTTGTGTACTTTTGCTGAGCTCTATGTGTGGTACATATAAAGCAGACTAGTACATGTACATGCATCAAGTGTATGTTAGACAGGTTGTTAAAATCCACTTTCAGATTTTAGAATTTTTCATTTTCATCGGAAAAATCTATTGGAGACATAAAAATCATGTTTCCAAAACGAATACATTTTAAGTTTAGCTTAACCATCTGTTGCAATACACAAGACTGGTGGTATGTAGATGTGCAATACGGTTTCGGAATTTTATTTTAATCCAGGAAGCCAAATTATGGGTGTCGAAAAACGATGTCGTTGTTGTTGTTTTTCCTTAAAAAAAAAAACCCCGAAAGAGACAAAAAACAGACAAACAAACAAAACAAAACAAATAAAGAACGTTAAGTTCGTATAACATTTTCAGCATTAGTTAAATTATATTTTGGAATATGATTGATGGTGCCTGTAGATGTGCAATCATGTTTTTGGAATTTTCATTCCGAGTACATTTGATGAACTAGGTTTATCAATTATAATTTATTATAGTTTGCAAGTTTTAAACTACAGTAAAAGAAAAAATCTATACTTAAAATCTCTAATAATATAAAATATAATTAAAAAAAAAGAAAACTATTACTTGCACAACCTGATTTGTAACCTATGGTAAGCAACTACATGTATAAACAATAGGTTATGTGTATTTATTATATTATAGTTACTTCTCTCAACTGAGTTTACGAATTAATAAGGCTCCGAATGCACAAAAAATTGATAACGGTTTTTTTTTTTTTTTTTTTGAAAAGCTTTGATTAATGACACTATTCTTTCTTGTATGGATTGAGCATGTCTATCTATGTTGGTGTCCTGTAGATGTGCAATTTGACTTTAAAATTGTCATTTTCTCCCGTGGGGCCAATTAAGTTCGTAAAAGACTTTTTTTTCTAAGAAAAAATAAACTGGTTCCTAGGTTTTCTCCTATACCGTATAACGGGTATTTTCTGCGGTTGGAAATTTTTGCGATTTAACCCCTAAAAGATAGCAAATTAATTTCTGCGTTTTCAATTTCTGCGGTTGCATTATACCGCAAAAAAATATTTACTGGGTATGATCACCAATCTCTAAGAATTAATTATCAGATAGCTGCCATGTTTACGTTTTATAAATTCATTGAGACATATTGATCAAGGTTGCATGAGAACTGGTATTAAGCTATTAAGCTTAATTAAACTACTATCTTTTCAGTTAGTCTTTGTAAAATTATGTTGAGTCCCAATTGAAATGAATTATTGCAGTATCGGTCCACCCAAACAACAACAAAAAAATCTTTATTCTACATTGTAACAAACGTTTTATGCGATCTATTAAAATATTTTAATATATAGATAATTAATGCATCCAAGCCATATTCTAAAAAATACACTTATAGTAAATTGCCATCAAAATTAATCTGGTGTTTATATTTTAAGCTCAAACAAACAGTTGCATAATCAAGTAACCTAAAGTTGACCGTGTACAATCACAGGTGCCATGTGCATTGAGGCGTAACTAATCCTGTCAGTCGTCTGCATTGTGTGAAATTCACAAGACAATCAAGCCACTTTGTGTATACAAGCAGTGATTATGGTCTCCAGATAAAACACAAGATTGAAAAAAGTGTTAAAGAAAGAAAGAAAAGCTACTATGTGTTGTTTGCAGCTATCGGAGTTTGGACTTCATTGCGAAATCTCTTTTAGTCATTTACATGTATATCCGTATAAAATAAAGAAGTAGGTACAAGAAAAGATGTTTATGTATAAACTTATTAAATTGATATTATTTACAGCAACGTTTTAATTCAATATGTTTTGTGAAAAATCCTGATATCTAAAATCTTCGAATTTCGATGACACCCGAATTTTCTCGCTAACGAGGACATACGCACCACTTACCATACTTGCATGTATAAAATATATATCTGAAGAAATATTGAAAAATATTTTGCGATTGTAATTTTTGCGGATTTGTCCTATCCGCAAAATTCCGCAAAAATTGGACAACCGCAGAAAATACCCGTTATACGGTATTTTATACATTAGCCCAATCATCTTTGTTGGTGTCTTGTAGATGGGCAAGAACATGTTAGAATTTTCATTGTAACCATTGGGAGGGGAGCAATTGAGGATCAAAAATTACGTTTTTTTTTCTTTTTACAAACACGTTCTGCCTGAACTCCCCTTACATTTCACACAGTAGCCAAATCTTCTTTATCCCCGCTCTTTCTAATAAACGTTCGGGTATTTTATTGTTATCCTGATCCGTCTGTCCCACTGTCTTCTTCCTAAATCTCTGCAGTAAGGTTTAAAATTTCATTTTTCACCATCGGGGGCCACTGGGTAATGGGATGTGGTCAAAAACGACGTTTTCTACAAAATTTTCTATTTTAAACTCCTCATACATTAGCATTAGCCACGATTATCTTTTAGAATATCTTAAATGGTGTTCTGTAGATGTGCAAAAAGATTCTTAAAAGTTTTATTTCATTCTCGGGGCTAATTGGGAATAGCAAGCGAGTTTTTTTTCCCCCAACAAAATCGTCTTTTCTTTATTTTTCAACATTAGTCAATTCATCTTTTTGAATATAATTAATAGTGTCCTGTACATGTGAAATAAAGTTTGGAATTTTTTTTTTTACCCTCTTGGCCAATTGGGAGTCGAAAAACAAGTTTTCAATAATTCTTCTAAAACCTTTTTCCCAGAGCTCCCATTTTACACAGTAGCAAATTAAACTTTTGGAGTATGATTGATGGCGTCTAGGAGATGTACAATAGGGTTTCGGAACTTTCATTTTTCTAAGGGGGATCAATTGAGGGCCAACAAAAAAAATTACAATTAAAACAATGTTTCCAGAACTTTTCTGACATTTTATGCAGTGTTCGATCAAATTTTAGAACATGATTTGTAGTGTCCTGTAGATATGCAATAAAGTTTTGGAGTTTTTTTTCTATCCAGGGGGTCATTGGGGGCCGAGGATTTATTTTTTTTAAATAAAGCTTTTTAAAGCTCCTTTTTCAACAGAATTTATGCTTAATAAATCCTTTAATACTAGGTTGGTAGTGAAATTTTTTGTTGTATAAAATACTAGTACTGGCATAGGTGGCCCATGAGCCTTTTGCTCACCTGAGCAATTATTGTTAATTTGATACAGGTATATTTTATATGAACTATGGAATTACTTTTGTCCCTTCTTCACCAGTTACCCAGATACAAAGAAAAAAACCCTGGAAGTAAAAACTTAAATGCGTATATTTTTGTCTAATGACAGCATGAAGTTTGAAATATAATCGGTAACGTCCTGGAAATGTGCAATTAATAAAGTTTTCAAAAACAAAAGTTTGTTTTTTTTTCTACAAAAACCATGATCTCAGAAATTTTCTCACATTCTATGCAGGTACCAATGAGTTGTGGTATTTTGTAGATGTGCAATATGGTCTTAGAATTTTCATTTTTATCCAGGAGGTCAACTGGGGCCGAAAATTTAGAACTTAAAAAAAACTTCTTTCCAAAACCCCCTATTCAACAGAATTCATTCTTCATTATACAGAGCCTTTAATTCTACGTTTAGATATGTCGACCACGTTTTATCAATTAACAATATTCATTTTTATTCGTACGTTGATTTGATATACTCCATATCCCTTTGAATTCGATCAAAAAGAAAAAGCACCACAGAAATATCTGTTTCATATTTTGATATTTTACTATAGAAGGACATTAATGGCAAACTAACGGTTAAACGTTATGATAAACGTGATGACTTCCCTTATTTAGGCAGCAATATACCATTGTCTCCTGTGTATAGAGTTTATGTCTCGCAGTTGATACGATACGCAAGAGTATGTTCTATGGAAAAAAAAAATCTAAAACGAGTCAAGCTATTCACAAATAAGTTGATGTTACAAAGTCTAAGCTTTTTGACATCATAGACAGCCTCTTTTTTTTTTAAATAAAAATGGAACTCGTGTATATACTTACCTTGTCATTGGTCATTTGCAAAATTGTTTTGTTGTAAACAATCTGCAATCTGATTGTACACACAGGTACTCTGAAGTTGATTTTAAAAAGATGCTTGAGTTTCTGATTGACAATATGTAGTTTTTGGAGATCAGGTCTTCCAACAATCTGTTGGAATTCCCATTGGTACCAATTGCACCCTCTTATTAGCAGACCTATTTTTGTATTCATATGAAACAAAATTTATTCAAAAACTTCTAAATGAGAAGAAGAAAACACTTGCTGTGGCGTTCAACTCGACATTTAGATAAATCGACGACGTATTATCAATTAACAAAAGTTACTGCCATTCATATGTCGACTCGATATATCCCAGTGAACTTGAAATAAAAGATACCACAGAGTCTGACACATCTGTTTCATATTTGGATATTTTACTAGAAAAAGACTTTAATGGTAACCTAACAACAAAGCTTTATGATAAACGTGATGACTTCAATTTTTTCAATCGTCAACTTCCCTTACTTATGTAGCAATATACCCTTATCACCTGCATATGGGTTTCTTGTCTCCCAGTTGATTCGATAGAACATGCTCTACATATGAACAATTTCTAAAACGAGGCAAGCTATTGACAAATAAGTTAATGAAACAAGGATATCGTTTGAAGTCATCATTTCGCAAGTTTTATGGTCGATACAATGAACTTGTCAGCAAATACAACCTGTCATTAAGTCAAATGCTGACTAACATTTTTCATACTAATTGTTAGGCCATTATTTGCACACTTAATTGCACATGAAGGAAATACATGTACATTTAGAGGCTAACATACATGCGCGTATACTGTCACATAACAAAGCCTAGATAAACTTTTTTTAAGTCAATTTATTGTTCACTTTTAAACGGTTAAATTAAAGATTGTTATGAATAAACAATGTTACAAATCTTGATGTAGAGAAATTATCTAATAGGTAATGTAGAGAGATTAGACCTTTCCTTGGATACCAGCATTTTTGATCATTTGACCTTGACTTTGGAGTTGACTTACTCTTGAAAAACTTTAACCTTGGCCATATTTTTTGGTTAGTGTCAGGGCTTTCATATTTCACATAGGTATTTCTTGTGACAAGACCTTCCCTTGGGTACCAATAGTTTTTAGCTCACTTGAGCCAAAGGCTCAAGTGAGCTTTTCTGATCAAAATTTGTTCGTTATCTGTCGTCGTCGTTGTCGTCGTTGGCGTCGTCGTCGTTGTCGTAAACTTTTCACATTTTCATCTTCTTCTCAAGAACCACTAGGCCAAATTCAACCAAACTTGCCACAAAGCATCCTTGGGTGAAGGGAATTCAAGTTTGTTCAAATGAAGGGCCACGCCCTCTTTCAAGGGGAGATAATTAGGAATTAGTGAAAAAATAATGGCATCATTTAAAAATCTTCTTCTCAAGAACCACTGGGCCAGGAAAGATGAAACTTATGTAAAAACATCCTCAGGTAGTGTAGATTCAAATTTGTTCAAATCATGACCCCCGGGGGTAGGGTGGGGCCACAATGGGGGATCCAAGTTTTACATAGATATATATAGGAAAATATCTTTAAAAATCTTCTTCTCAAGAACAGCAAAGCCATGATTGGTCATATTTATATGGAAGCATCCTCAGGTAGTGTAGATTCAAGTTTATTCAAATCATGACCCCCGGGGGTAGGGTGGGGCCACAATGGGGGATCCAAGTTTTACATAGAAATATATAGGAAAATATCTTTCAAAATCTTCCTCTTAAGAACAGCAAAGCCATGATTGGTCATATTTATATGGAAGCATCCTCAGATAGTGAAGATTCAAGTTTGTTCAAATCATGACCCCCGGGGGTAGGGTGGGGCTACAATGGGGGATGCAAGTTTTACATAGATATATATATATATAGGAAAATATCTTTAAAAATCTTCTTCTTAAGAACAGCAAAGCCATGATTGGTCATATTTACATGGAAGCATCCTCAGATAGTGAAGATTCAAGTTTGTTCAAATCATGACCCCCGGGGGTAGGGTGGGGCCACAATGGGGGATCAAAGTTTTACATAGAAATATATAGGAAAATATCGTTAAAAATCTTCTTCTTAAGAACAGTAAAGCCATGATTGGTCATATTTATATGGAAGCATCCTCAGATAGTGAAGATTCAAGTTTGTTCAAATCATTACCCCGGGGATAGGTTGGGGCCACAATGGGGGATCAAATTTTTACAAATGAATATATGGGAAAAAATCTGCTGCTCAAGAACAACAAAGTCATTTGTTATATTGATATGAAAGCATCATCAGGTAGTTTAAAATTCAACACCCCCCCCCCCCCCTCCCTGTAAACTTTTCAATACTGTACTGATTTTTGCTTTTTTTCCTAGCCAATGTGCTCAGGTGAGCGATGTGGCCCATGGGCCTCTTATTACATTTTGCTCTTGATATTGGAGTTTGACCTACTTTTGAAAAACTTTAATCTTGGCCATAACTTTTGATAAGTGCTAGGCCTTTCATATTTCACATGCGTATTCCTTTTGCCAAGATATTCCCTTGGGTACCACTGATTAATTTTGACCTTGGCGTTTGACCTACTTTCGAAAAACTTTAATCTTGGCCATAACTTTTGAACGGTTTGTTTTATGGCTTTCATATTTCACAGGTGTATTCCTTATGACAAGACTTTTCTTTTGATACCAATATTTTTGATCTTTTGACCTTGGAGTCTGACGTGCATTTCATAAACTTTCACCTTCATCATGATCACTTCGCCATAAGGGGGCATCAATGTTTCACAAAAACATCTTTTTTACATTTAGGACTTCAACTGTGTACAAAGTATTTGAAAAACAAAACTGAAGAATTTGACGAAGCTTAAGATGAAAAAAGGAAAGACAAATAATAGAAACAACGATTATTTATTGACCTCTGAATAATTAATATGCAACAAATGTTTTGGCCACCAACACTGTTACTATAAATACGATGTTGACAAGCTATTTTCTTTTTGCTGACTAGTTTCCATTGCCGTACGTTCATACATCACTGGCCCAAAAACAATCGTTGAATCTTAAATACAGAAATAACAAATGTTAAACTTTTTGTTTACGATGTAGACACTGGAATATCGTTAATGATTTCTTAGAAAATAAAAATGAAACAGTTGTATCACTATGTATTAAACAAAAAGTATGCAGGTGATTGTGTAAAACAGCTAGTTTGAACAAAGTTCCTACTATTTTTGGTATAACATGTACATACAGTATTGTTAACATTTAAATAAATTCCCTCGTCCTACATAGATTAAGACTAAAAGCAAAGCAGTGCAAATACATAAGCAGGGATCTAAGACAAATTTGTGAAGAATTTCTAGGTTTTAAATGATAAATTCTATAGCAAAATTTCAAAGTAATACTGATCTTTACTATCATACTTGGTACCTGTAATTTTATTCACAGGCACGTAGGGGCCAGAGGGAGGGGAGGAGGCGACCCCCACTTTTTTCTGAGTATAGTATTTTGCTATAGTAAATTTTCTTTTATTTAGATGATGGTTGCCCCCCCCCCCCCCACACACACTTTTTAATGTTGTAAGGTCGAGCACTGGCAAATTCCCGGGTAAATTAGCTTTTTTTCTTGATTGTCAGATAATTTTGGGAAGTTGCCCCCCCCCCTTTTCGTCAGTTTAGTTTTTTCCTTTTGTTTGTCAGATTTTTATTGGAAGTTGCCCCCCCCCCCTTTGGAAACCGTTGCTATGGGCTTGGTTCAACTTACTATTAATAATTTCTTTAACAAAAGTAAAACAGATTTAGGTGTTAAAATCGACGTTTGTGTCAGAAAACACAACAGTGCATATAAGGTTAATTGTTATTTATGGGAATCTTCCTGACATATTGGGCCAGACCTACATACAGTGCAAAACGATTTTCTTATCTAAAAAGTATGATACAAGAGTGTAGAAAACATTAAGACAATCTGAAAAGAATTTGAATAAATAATAATTAAAAAAAAAAAAAAACATTATTTCCGATATGAGGATAACTGATAGTACCCGACATGTCAAACTGCAAAACTTAACAATCAAGCATATCGTTTTCTCATTATTGACCCCTGAAAACGGTCTTCACTTCCCTTTTCAGATTCAAAAAAAAAAATGAAAAATTTATTTACCATTTTTCTGCACCATTAAAACTGTAATTTTGCAGACAAGCAGTCAGCAATGATGCCGAGAGACCAAAGCTAAACCCCAGCAGTTTAGGGGATTCGCGCACCTTACCTTAGTAACGGTATCCGTTGAGGTATCTGTAATTGCCGTATAAGAATTCGCCGTTTTGATCGGGCTGGTATTGAGCAAACGCCATCTGGAGCATGGCTACCATAGCCAATGTTGCAGCCTGGTAGAGAAACTGGCGAACTGATTCCATCTCGGATACTTCAGTTACTTGTTATAGAAGGACTCTGCGTTAAAACGTCGAGTGAAGACCAACTATTGGGGCGTAGCTTATATAGTCTCAAAATGTTGAAAACAACGTAAAAACTGTACTACGCTGGATGTTTTAGAGGTTGTAATACAAGAAAATTTGAAACAAGAAGGAAACAATTCACGACATTTTTAAATAACTTCCTTGCATGTTGCACTTTCTGTCGTTTCGTGGCTTTATGTCTGAAGGAGATAAAAATGTCCAAATTGCGTTGCTTGGCACGATGACTTTGGAATTCTTTGTAAATGTTTTTGTTTTCCTAAAATATGTCTAAATATAGTATCTAACTTGTTTTTATAAGGAAAAAACATTTGACACCAATAATCTAATATCACTATTATATATATTGTTATTTATTGATTAAATGTCATGCATCATGCAAAACAGAAGCAAGCCTGCGATGTCAGCATTTTATAGACTAGTAATATATCCCATTTTTATTTCACCCCGATACGCGCCTCTTTTTTATCTAGCATCATGCATGGGATTGATCAACATGCACCTTTTTTGACAAAATCGACATCGTTATTTAGCACCTGTATACCCCCTTCTGTCGTTAGATTATTTACCTTTAGAAATAATCATTCCAGGTGGGAGGGTCATCTCTAGACTGACTGTACACTGTGTCCAGTAGGATCACAACCAAGGCAACTGCTTGCAACAAATAACTGGTCCAGGTTTCCATGGCAACAAGTAATAAAGGATCACAGTAGTTAGAGATTTTTCGGTTTATATAGTTTGGCTAAAATGGCTGCCGTGGTACAGGTATTTTGGATGTTGTATAATTTGCAAGAACACCACTCGAACATTTCCAGAAAACACAAAAATAATGTAATGAGTAATAGTTTAGAACGTAGAGGACGTAGAATGCGAGCAACAACACAAAAGTATTGGTCCCGAGGTGACAGTTTAAGCACTTTATTGCAGAATATCTTGTTCCACTCGTTGTTCGACTAGGATTTTCCGGTCTGTAGCAAGGTTTTATTTTGTTAAACCAAAACAGAAAGCACACAGTCCCTAACAAAAAAAAAATTGGAATTTTCCGTTGGTTGTAAGACTAGATTTTAAAATATTTTAGTTGCAAGGTACTAGTAACTATTATAGCTAAACGTTTTGTGGTCTTGTGCATGTATGTGTTTTTAGACATTTTTGTCAGCCACAATAGGAGTTACGTACCGTACATTCATTTCTTTGTAAGGTAAAGAGTTGAAAAAATGAATTCAACAATTGTGGGAATATTAGTATTCAATACAGCGAATGTTTATTTTGTAATTCATTCCCTCAATTTTAAGAACTGAAAAAATAACAAATAATACACATTTATTTACTGGGTTCGAGGACAACATGCCTTTTGTCTGACCCAAGGAAAATTTTTGCCTGAGGCCGTTAGGTTCGAGGGGTCGAAAAAACGCATTTTGCCCGAGAACCCAGTCAATAAATGTTTTGTTATACCATTTATTATATCTATTATCATTTTTATTATTTTTTGGGGGGGGGGGCATACAAGTATCTTGTGCTGGCTTCCATGATGTAAATTTCCTATACCCGCATTGCGGAATAATAATAATACAGCATTAAAAATTTATTCCTATATAAATCTGTATTTAAAAAGTCTAACATTTTCGACGTTTTACTGAGCGGTCATAAAAAAATCGAATAAAATATTCCCCTAACAGCCTAAGGCAAACATTTTGTTTTTTGGGTTCGACAAAACGCACGTTGCTCGAAAACACAGTCAATAAACGCATATTGTTAATCATTTATTGTATAGTTCGTAGGGGAAAATACGCATTTTGATATATTTCCTAGAATTGTTTTTTATAAACCGAGTCAACTATTAAAAATCTGCATTTAAGCATTTGATAATAGCTAGTGCATGTAAACATGGTCATCCATTTCTATTTTATGTTTCTAATTTTGAAAATATTATCTCAAATAAAGGTGGTTTTTTTTCTAGGATGCCAAATTTATCGTCCTGGGACGTGCATGCATGATTATTGTTGTACGATATTTTGGTATCTAAATTCTCAATAAATTATTTGCAAGGAGCACTGAGTTCAGCTGATCTCTACTGTCATCTCACCAAAGGTTTTGAGGTTCTAAGACTAAATACCCCCTTGCTACCATCACCTGGTTTTTACAGTAAGACAAATTAAACCCTAAGGTTCTCCTTCTGAAAAAATTAACAATGAAATGGTAAAACAAGTCCTCTCTAACTTAATTCGGAATCCTCAAAATTGAGGAAGTTCTGAATCAACTACATGTATGTTGTACTTGTTCAAAGAAAAAAAATATTGTTAAACACAGGTAAGACAGCTACATAAAGTTTTACCCACATATCTATTTTGACTTTGTTAAGTACACATTAAGGAACTTTTACACGGGTATTAAATATTCACATGTTTTATTTCTTCGACATTATAAGTACAGGTCTTATATTTGAGTAAAACCGAGTTTTAGATCATCATGTCTGAACTTTGGTCTTTCTGTATAAATGATAATTACTTGGTGAGAGTATTAAATACGGAATTAGTGTAACACTAGATGCCCTTACATGTAGTTTTGCATATCTAAACTTCCACTAAGCTTTCCCTATCTAAACTTGTCCCTTAGGAAATTATTCAGTGTTATGTAATATATTGTGTATGGAAAAATATTTCAATGGATTTGAATTACAAGTATACTACATTGTTCTTCTAATCTATACCGAACGACGCTAAAACTGAAGTTTGTTTCTTTATAGACCCCCCTCCCCCTGCTCTGACTTCAAAGATATCTTTTTGTAGTATTTCTTGTCTGAAAACCATCCCATATTATGTAGCAGGTTTACAATCTAATCCAATATTTGAGGACCACAATGTTGAATCACAGGCGTTCCCAATCTAACTTCGTAAACAAGGAAATAAGTCTACGTCCATAGGTCTACCTCTCTACCCTATAAAATCATGATTGATGATTTTATAGTATAGAGAAGGTATTCCTATAGAAGTAAACGTTTCCCCCTTTGCAAATTTAGATTGGGAGCGCTTACATGTACATGTAAATGTATGTATTGAATGTATATACACTGTACTAATTAACTGCTGGTTCAAATTCGAACCACAAACACCCCTAGGATAAAAATGTCAATGAACCATATGGGTCCAAATTAATACAAAAATCTACATTATCTTTATACCAATTTAAGCATTGAAATCGAGTTTGTTTTTTTTTTTAAAGTTTGAATTTACGTTGTGTTTTCTTGCTCACAGTTTTAACTTGTGAATAATCTGATCATTTTGAAGAATTAAGAGATGAAAAGAAAAATATATAACAACGCAATTCCTATTTGCAGGCCGAATATATGCGTATTTGTTTGTTTTTTCCCCTTTGTTTTTTTTTTTTTTAATTATCCAGGTACATGTAATTGCCGATACAACAAGAAACTTCCCTGTCCAAGTACAAAACAAAACACCTTTACACTGTTTTTCTCAAATGTTTTCACTGTAACATGATTTTGATGGACTTGAAAGAAAACAAAGTCATAAAAAGTTTATTTCTTACGTTCTTGACAAGTTGTGTTCATGATGGAAAAACACACTAATTCTTCTTTGATTGGCAAAAACTAATGTCCTTGAAAGAATTTAAGATATTTTGTGATGTTCAACATGGACGTTCAAATATCTAAAAGTAATTTTTAAAGATAAAGATAATATACAGAAATTCAAATAAAATGAAGCTGCTTGGTGTTTGCTCACTAGGCAACGTGTGTAATTTGGATGTCTGATTTTAGCCCAACGTTTCCCCCAGGGTTTATAATTACCCCCCCCCCCCCCTTTGAATCCACATTACTTAGAATTAATTTGTTTTAGCTTAAATCTCGTCTTAAATAAAAAAAAAAAAAAACAATCCTGCAATAGTATTCGATCATCCCTGATGTACAATCCATGCAACTTGGTCCACATTAGACCTGCTCCAAAGCTATGAATCTGACAACTCGGTTTACCGGGAAACACAAATCAGTTGCAGAAAAGCATCCTTTTATGTATAAAACTCATTATTATTTTGGAATGGATCCGACTCAGAACCGTTAAACTTTCCATTCATCTGGAATTTAATACTGGCATTTCACACAAGCTGGTCCAGGTATAGCTTATATGTAGCTATTTTAGATATGCTTAAAAACAAAGAACCTGATGCCAATTCTGTTGAGATAGAGAAAAAAAGGAAGAAAGAAAAAAAAAGATATTGTAGATTAACAAAACAGAGCTTAAAGAAAATCATGAATCTATTCAAGGTCAACTCCAAAGACAATTATAAAAACATGAATTTGCCAATTTGTAAATTTAGATTATTGTGAAACTCACTTTTGAGGCAAATTTATGCGTTTCGCGCAGCAATTTCAATGCCTACTTCCTAAATGTATCTCAAAATGAGAGCTGGTTATATGTTGCTAAAACATGAACATACAGGTACAAGAGATAGATATCACCTAGGTGATATCACTCATTCAAATTGAAAAGGTGATATCACCAATTCAAATATATTGACTATAGCTAAAGGTTAAAATTTCATTGCAAAACCTCTAAGAGAACTAAACCGGTTATCAACCGGAAATGATTTTATGCAAGATACAAATTTCTGACCTTGACCTTTTGACCTAAAAATCAATAGAAGTCTTCTTTAAGACATTGAAACTTAGATATAAAATTTCATTGAAAAGGCTTAAAGAAAACTTATTATCTGAAACCATTTACTTGCAACGTATAAATTTCTGACCTTGATTTTTTAACCTCAAAATCAAGAAGATTCTTTTTAACTCACAGAGAATTACATGTACATGTATATCTTGTAATTTCATTGAAAAAAGCTCAAGAACTATTATCATCTGGAAAACCATTTTTTTTTAATGTATGAATTTTTTATCTTGACCTTGAAATCAATCGGGGTCTTAAGACACTGAGAGCTACGATATAAAATTTCATTAAAAAAAAACCAAACACACACAAAGAGAAATAAAGCTATCATCTGAAACTTTTTTTTTTGGGGCAATGAACCAGTTATGAATTTATGACCTTGAGCTTTTAAACTCAAAATCACCAGGGGTCTTCTGT